GTCCCGGGGGTCGACGCTGCAATTGCAGATAACATAGCACCCGTGTTCGGTGAGCAATGACCATCCACAAACATTATCCAATGCAACGGCAACTCTTGCAAGGGTCTCAGTGAAGCGCTCTAACGAGTCTCGCATACTACTCCCCATACGATAAAGAACATTTCAGATAAGGGCATCCGTATATCCCCAGATACTTCTGCTCTGGAGGTCCGTTCTCTCATTTTGTTTAGAACATCAATGCCAAAGTAGCTGCTGGTATAATGCCAATCGACTTGCGGAAAAGGTGGCGCTGGCAGGTTAACCTTGGCCTCCACCACCACCTTGCCAGTTCCAGCGTTCCCACTAACAGCAGAAACCGTACCAGCGGTTAGCCCTGCATTTTCCTTTTGGCCATTACCCAACGCTTCTTCCATATCCGCCAGTAAAAGCAAGAATGCTCTAAGCGCTATCAATAGGCGCTCGGGATTCACAACCGTATCGCCAACGACCATGTTAGATGCTGTAGACACAGAGCTGGAGCCAGTCAACATCGTGTTGGTAGTCCAATCATCCAGCATTGTACTCGGCACAGCGGAAGTGGCTGATCCTTTCTCACCCATGAGAATACTCGAGGTTGAAATAATTGCATTACTGGAGGCCGTGATCGCATTGCTTGGTCCCGAAAGCACTGCTGCCCCATGCTCAATCCCAAGCAGGTTGGTCAGCACATTGTTGGCTCCATATTCAGGATACCGTACACAAATAAAGTAAACAATTTGAACGAACGCGTGCAGGCTGGTTTCCGCAGGAACGACGCCTCGCCGATTCGGAGGAAATAGGACCTTTGTAATTGAATCTATGCGCCGATATACATTGGCGGTAGATGTTTCGCTGCACCGGAAGAGGTAAACCCAAAGTAGCCGGGTGATTGACGAAAGCGCGATCGTCCGTAGTAGCTTATCTCGTAGCTGTTTGACGCAAAGCTCCGTAAAATCACCCCAATGCTTGTGAAAGAAATCCTTTCGTGATACACACAATAGTGTATTGATCAACGGCAGTGCAGCCTGAAGAGATAATAGCGGTAACTACAATTGGGCCATTCAAGCGATACAACATGATGGGTTCCAACCTGCAAATGTCGCGGCTTGCTAACCATCTTATTCGCCTTTGGGAAAATCAGCTCCACAGTTTTCATCCATGCTGGAAGATTCACTTCCGCGGTTGCAACCTAATGACTAGTGTCAGCCTACTGTCGTAATAGGGACTTTTGTACGCGCTACCTCTTACCGCCGCTATGGGTTCCAGCAGCTGGACAAACACTTCAGCATATGCATGCTTTATCCGAGAGCTATGCGCATCATGAAACAACTCAGCACATGTCTGCAAAAAGTCGGCCGTATTTTCCAGTTCATCCATGGGATATATCTGAAAAATTTTAAGCTCTTGCATCTGTAAGACAAAATATGAGGCAGCATATCAGCACGTACCTTGAGCTTCAGAAATCTCATACTGCGAATGAAAAGGTCCAGCTTTCCTTCTTTCAAGGTAGCTGCCTTGGAAAGTTCTGAAACGAATCGCCCACTCACAGTGGCGAATCTTTCGGCGACGCAAGATACTCATGTCATTCTTTCTCCCAATCAGCAGCGCAAAATCAACAGTGAGAGCACTAACCGAATGTTGGATAGCGCTCCAGCGAGCTCCGCGAATAGATCAATATTTGCTTGCCGATTGACAGATCGGATCGTTAGATCACTGCACATATATTGCACGATAATTACATTCGATTTTTTTTGGGAAAGTCGAAAGCCTTGAGGAACTCACGGGTCTGCGTTTCGGAGCTGTCCAAATACCATATCTTCTAGCTTTTCAGCCAAGTCATCTGGCAGTGTTTCCCGTGTTAATCGTTGTATGATGGCAGTGAGAACGCGGCACAGTATGAAATTGGAAACTAGCTACGTTTTCAAAAAGGGGTTCAATCGACGATCTTACTGGGTAATCGGGTACCACCAACCAATTGCGTACCGATTTTCGTTCCTTTAAAATGTTTTCAATGTCTTTTCCTTTTAAATGAGGATACAAAGTTGTGCTGTCAAAAAAAGACGTGTCAACCATCGCAGAAGAAACTACTGTACGTTGTTCCGCCACCATACATGTTGCGTGTTCCTTCACCGGGAGATGCTTCGCTTTTCGACTTTCGCCAGACCATTATACTGTCGATCATCAGTTTTGGACAATGTTTGGCAACAGATCCAACCGACTCCAGTAGACAATCAAGCGTCTTATCGGTTCCCGGACGAATTGGTGCAAAGAGATCAAGCTCCCGATCCTGGGACGTAGATGATCACCGATGAGTAGCTGCAGAGACACAGACAATGACCTGCACACCATGCAGATATTCTCCTTTGGTAAAGGAGTGCTAAGGTCACAGCACGTACCAAGGGTTGGAGGTGCATCAATGTGTTCACTTTCAACTCTGCAGCTCGGACAAAGCGGGCAAACACATTCTGCAAAGCTAGTTGTGCTGGAGTGCGCTTCCCACCCGACCCACCTCCAGGCCCAGAAGCAGAGATTGGTAGCATGCTTGCCCGCTGACTCGACGTCTGATTTCCTGCTCCAATGCTCCCTTGTCGCTGTGGTACCCCATCTGGATGCGTGTTTGTCGCACCAGCAAACGTACCGCCGCCACTGCTTTGCGCTTGTCGTACCGGCTCTTGTCCAAGTAATGGCCCTTTAGATGGAACAGGTGGTGGTGTTTGCCTGCCCACCTCCTCTGGATGGCCGCGATCTCGACTCCCTCCCGCCTCCATATGATCAGATCGTCGCTGGAGAATTTACTCTAAAGGAGTGAGACCGCCACTGCAAAACTAGTCCGTTCTAAACTGTCTTTGAGGAGGACGGCCCAGGTATGCTCAACTTCCACGGTAGAAAGTGGCTGTCAAAGCCGTCTGTCGATTAATGCTATTGTGCGTGGCTGTTCCATGCGGCGAATGTCGCTTCAAAGAAAAAGGCAAGGAAAGAGCGCCTTTACGAAGCAACTTCGGGGTGAATGGCTATGGTAAACGAAAGATGTTCAGAACGCCAGCTCCAATGTGTGATTAAGTGTTGCACGGTGGATGGGGCCGGTATCTGACACCTTGGCCTCCGGCTTATGCAAATCAACGTGACGTTGATCTGGGACATAGAACGACAACAGGCATGCCATAATCACAATATGGAATGCACAATCACAGCATTAGATTCTCCATCGAAAATGGGGCTTTCCACATCTTTTCTCCACTCCACATTGCGCAGAGACCATCACCTCCTCTGTTCCATTACGGTCTGATTATATATTCCAAGACGGAAAGGGTCGAGAATTATATTGACAAGATTGAATACAACAGTGCCTGCTCTCGTACAGGACACCCCCCGGACCACCATGTCCTTCCACCAGCAACTCTGATCACGACCACATTGCGCTTAGAACTGGAGGGCAGCACCCTTGGTCTTCTTGTCACCACCTTTTTGATTGCGAACAATGGGAATGAGAAATAACGGCTATTTGAGATTAGGAACGACATCGAGTACATACCGAGCTCAAAGTGCTTGCATCGCTTCAATGCAATCTGCTGCTTGTACTTGCAGACAGTGCATTCCAAACGAAGCACGACCTTCTTCGTGGTCTTTGCCTTCTTGTGGAACACCGGCTTGGTCTGACCACCGAAACCGGACTGCTTGCGGTCGTAACGACGCTTACCTAGTAGGGACATCCATATGTCAGATTTGCTTCGGCTGAAACGGACATCCATTTCCTCAATTGCATTTGTTTCCACCGAAATCCACCCTTCGTCAACACTTTGCCCATCTCCCCTTCTACATACATTTCACATGGTGATATTTCCACTTTACACGTACCTTGAGCGAACAAAGACGCCTTTCCCGTCTTGTATTGGGTCACCTTGTGGGGGGTGTGCTTCTTGCAGTCCTTCCCCTTGCAGTAGGTGTTCCGGGTTTTCGGGATGTTGACCTAGAAAGGACAACCGATATCAGCATAATTCAGCACTAGGTCTCGCATAGGTTCCACTCGCGCATGTCCAAGCTCAATTTTCGCCATTTCGCATGTCTCTCCAGCCCATGAAATCCGCCCTCCCTCCTCCATGCTTCAGCTCTTTTCTAAAAGTCTCCAAACTTTTCCTCCCCGCCCTACTCCACACTCCAGCACCGTGATGACGGACAGATGGACGAGACGGATGGATGGATGGATGCAGGAATACGTACCATGGTGAACGGCGTTGACCACAGATGTTTGGACGAATTCAGGAGGGACTCTTCACCACACGCAGTACGGCCATCATTTTGACAGATGCTCATGTCACGTGACCAACATCGAACCCAAACGCAGCTTCCACCACTACGAGCAATTAATTGTTTTGGATAGATGATCTGTAAGCACTTTAGATGTGAGTATTTATCGTATGGGTAGGGTTCGTAGAGTCTCGGCACTACTCATGGGCGGAGTAGCATACGATCACTTCCTAGGACGACAGCTTTGGGGGACCTGGAATTTAGGGTATTCGTTTACGGGCCAGATCTGCTCCTCTGGCCATTGTCAATGTAGAGCAGAGGCAGCTCCAGCTGATTGAGGTCGCTGTGTAGAGTCGTCAAAGACGTGGAGGCGATTCATTCCTATGTGGAAATCTCGAAGATACTGAGCAAAATTTCATGTCATTGTAATCTTCGTCATTACATAAGGAGCATCCCGAGCATACTAAAAACGATTTTGCGTAACTACAATAAAAAAAACCTTGAGCGACCTAGCATCCCCCGCAAATAGCCAGCGTCCCAACTGGTCGTCCATCAAAACCCAGCAATCCCACGTTTATCCGTAGAGTTCATTCTAATGCAAGTAGTTCCCTTTCACACACACAATAATGGATGTTCTTCTCAAGCGCCTGAATTACATGTCGTGTCCCATGTCCACATAGTCCCCTTGTTCCATTGAATTGTGGTCAACGTGTTGCTCGCCCGGACCTGGAGGAGCCACGGATGGCATTTCCACTGGAGTACCCAGAGGGACCGATAGTCCCAGATCCACCTCATTGATGCCTGTTTGCTCAAGTACGCGCCGCAAAATCTGCTCGAGCTCTCTGTTGCGATCCACTTGAAGTGTGGCGAATGTCTGCATTTGCTTAATGTATTCCACTGAGCGACGCAAAATGACTCCTTTGTTTGGTTTGTTCTGCGAATCAGAAGCAAAGTCCGGAAGGAGAGTTGCAAGCTCCTGAATCTTTTCATTGATGTTGTCGCGGCGCCGGCGTTCTACTGCATTGTGTGACTCACGGCGTCGACGACGCTTTTCCGTAAGTTGATCCAATCTGGAAAGATTAAAGCGGCATTAGTCTCAATTTTTTCTTGCAATCTCACACTTTATGTTGCCAGGTTGTCGGATACTCACTGTTTTAAGCTTGATTCGTCAATCATTTCTGGTATCTGTCCGTAAGCCGAGAATGAGCTGGGTTGAGACCCAAGCAATTTTGCTTGATCCATCGCACCAAAGCCATTTGTAGCATGAACAGGCATGGACATTGAATAGAAGTTGCCATGGGGCATCTGTACTCCTGGGGTGCCTAATATTTACCAACGGCCAATTTAGTACCATCATCATCAACAATTTCCTCCGCGGGCCATTGCAGCCTTACCATAAGGGGTGCTGTGCAGGGACGTGCTCAACGAGCCCGATCCATGAGGAGTGAAATTCGATGAGCGCGGGCCAAATTCCGGATCGTCTAGGGGGGAGCTGGATAGTGGAGACATCATGACGGATGGGTCGGCAACTTCCAGGCCGCTGCCCAACTCGTATTCACCGCCGAGATTTCCAAAAGGATCATTGAGACCCTCCATTCCCGAATCTTCCTGTTTCACAGGAGGCGTGGAACCGAACTGATTGATGGCCAGCAGACTAGGGTCAATCGTGGACATTGCTTGCTTTTGCATTGGATGTGGATGATACGGTGCGTTGGGGAGGCGAACGGAAGGATGCTGCTGCTGTTGCTGCTGCTGCGGGTAAAATCCCTGCCCGTCAAAAGGCTGGTGTGAGATTATCATGGCGGGATGGGATTCTCGTTGGTTGTGGGATGCTTGTACTTGTTGCTGCTGTTGTTGTTGTTGTGGTTGTTGTTGATGAGAAGGTTTGTGATTATAATTCTGCGGTGATGATGACTGTCGTTGTAGAGGAATCATTGGCCTTTATGAGCACCCACGCATGCACTGCCGGACGCCAGGTATCGTCAAGGCTACAATGACAGGGAAGGTCGTAACGCTCTCTGTTTCACCTAAAGCCAAGGATCGTTAGCAAGAGGAAAGTTGACAGCATGCCAGTGACTTCCCCACCCATGCAGATCTCCCCAGACAAGGAGCCTCCCAATCCCTACGCCACCAAGATGAGTTCTATAGCCCACCATTGCTCACTCTCGACATGCTCCACTCAGATCGCAGGCCATGCTTACCTCAAAAACAGTAGGTGTGCTTTGTTTATGCCGGTGGCGTGAATCGGTTCGGATCAGCGTAACGAATAGGACGACTGGTTACTGGTAATATCCAAAAGTCGATGTTGGTTGTTATGTGTGGTTGGTTGAGGCAATCGTGTAGTGTTCTTTAACAAAAAAAAAAAGCTGGAAATCTGTTGGCAAGCGAGAGCGCAGTTGCAGTTGTTTGAACGAAACGGCGGCGAAAAGGGGGGGGGGGGGGGCGGCGCCAAAAGCCTTAAATTTTGAATATTGACCAATATAGCTTAGTTATAAGATTATTGCCGGTGTTCTTTTTATTGAACGACGACAACGACGACGATGAACGAAGAGGATATGATGACGACGATTAGTGACGATGACGGCAGGAATGGGACAAAAAAGGGCACAAGGATAAAAGGTTCATGCACATTAAATATCTAAATGTCTTCTATTCGCAGTCATACCACCCAAACAAGTGTGACTTTTCAAGATAAACAAAACGCAAATGTGGTAATGTTCCTGTCTGACTTTTTAACAAAACAGAACCATTCAACAGGACAAAGGGTCTCCCCGGGTCACCCGACGATATGATTTCACCTTGTTCGCTATTGAAAGGGCCGCTTGTCTTTTTTCTTGTTGCGTACGTCTCATCGACCACCCAAAGACGATGGTTCAAGGATGCCCAGGGTCTCTCCCCCCATCCCCATTGGTCTTTGGGCCATACGCCAACAAACGATCAATTGGAATGAACTCATCGTTTTGAGACAAGTCAAAACACAAAACGTTGACCCCCATGGGGATGCACAACACGACGTCGCGTGATGAAAGTTGTTGACCCTCCCAAACACCGCCCGACGCATCGGCAGCCCCCATTCAAAGCCTGTTTCCTTGGCAACATTCGGTGATGAAGTGCACAGTCATCCATGGGCGGCGTAGCCATAGTAAACAGGCACAGTCATGCATGAAAACCTGGTGTGTGTGTGGACAGTGTGCGCAGTGGTTGTTCTTGCAGCAGCCGAGGACCTTGATCGCCCATTAGCCCAGCATGGCCGATCTGGAAAAGCTTGAACATCTCTCCCTTGTATCAAAGATTACGAGCGAACTTCTCAACCACACTGGAATCAACGACAAGGTTCTTGCTGAGTTTATTATCGACCTGCACGGACAGTCAAAAAGCGTCGAAGACTTCAAAAAGAGCTTGGACAATGTCGGTGCTGAATTCCCTCAATCGTTTGTGACAAATCTCGATCGCTTAATTCGAACCTTGAAACCCCAAGGCAATGGGAAGAAAAAGAAGGGGAAAAAAGGAAAGGGAAAGTTGCCTGAAGAAAATGGTGGTGACTGGGAACAGGATGACGGAGAAGATAGGACGCTGAAGCTCGCAAAGTTTCCTGGATTAGCAATACCAGATGATCCAACCAGAGCAAGTCAATTGGTAGAGGACACCAAAGTCGCGGAAGATGTTCTTGCAGAGTTGGAAGGGTTCTTGCACTCAAAAAAGGACGAGGCGAACGCAAGGGAAAAAAGGGGTGACGGAGAAAGCTCCGGTAGATATAAGCGGCAAGGAAGTAGAAGCCGTAGTCGGAGTCCAAAACGCAGTCGAAGGGATAGCAGTCCACGACGACGAGATGAGGGGCGGGACAGGGGCCGAGGTCGTGACCGCGATCGGGGATATGGGGGGCTGGATGATGAACCCCTGCTCTACAAAATCTACAATGGAAAAATCAGCGGTGTTAGGGACTTTGGTGCATTTGTTAGTCTGGAGGGGATCAGAGGTCGCGCGGAAGGAATGGTGCACATAAGCAATTTATCGGCTGGCCCTGGGCGGGTTGTCCATCCGTCCGATGTCGTCTCAAAAGGCCAAAAAGTAAAGGTTAAGGTGATGACTATTGCTGGAAACAGGATCGGGCTGTCGATGAAAGACGTGGACCAAGAAAGTGGAAGGGATCTCACTCCTCACTTAAGGATCAAGACCAAAGAGGAACTAGCAGCCGAGGCAATGCGGAATCCTGATCGACCGATTCTGACGTCTTTTAGCGAAGTACCTGTAGTGGATGATATCGATACCCACACGCCAAATGTAAAACGTATATCATCTCCAGAAAGATGGGAGATCAAACAGCTCATTGCATCCGGTGTGCTCGATCCGAAAGAATACCCTACTTTTGATGAAGATCAAGGATTGCTAAATTATGAGGACGCCGAGGAGGAATTGGATATTGAGATTAGGGACGAAGAACCATCGTTCCTAAAAGGGCAAACAAAGCAGAGTGTGCAACTTAGTCCTATCAAGATTGTAAAGAACCCTGATGGAACAATGAACCGAGCGGCTTTGGCTGGGGCAGCCTTGGCCAAAGAACGGAGGGAGATTCGGCAGCAGCAGGCAGCAGCAGAGTATGATGCTGTTCCGAAAGATCTCAACAGACCATGGGTGGATCCCATGGCTGACCGGTCAGATAGACACTTTGCACAAGATCTGAAAGGATTTGGCAGAACTGAAGATAATGTTCCAGAATGGAAGAAGAAAACGTTCAATAACGCTACCACGTTTGGAAAGATTACGAGTCTATCGATCACGGAGCAACGAGAATCACTGCCAATTTTTAAACTTCGTTCGACCATTGTCAAAGCTGTGGATGAGAATCAGGTCCTTGTTGTTGTTGGAGATACCGGATCCGGAAAGACTACCCAGATGACACAATATCTTGCTGAAGAAGGTTTTGCCAACCGGGGCATGATTGGATGCACTCAGCCGCGTCGTGTCGCAGCCATGTCAGTTGCAAAGCGCGTTGCTGAAGAGGTGGGGTGCAGATTAGGTCAGGAGGTTGGGTACACGATACGTTTTGAAGACTGCACGAGCCCTGAAACCAAAATCAAGTACATGACGGATGGTATGCTTCTTCGTGAATGCTTGATCGATCCCAAGCTGAGCAAGTACTCGGTTCTTCTACTGGATGAGGCGCACGAACGCACCATTCACACTGACGTTCTTTTTGGACTGCTAAAGAAGACCGTCAAACAGCGACCCGACCTGAAACTTATTGTCACATCAGCTACATTGGATGCTGAAAAGTTCTCGACATACTTTTTCAATTGTCCGATTCTGACTATTCCTGGTCGAACGTTCCCTGTCGAGATCTTGTTTGCTAAAGAACCAGAGTCGGATTACCTTGATAGTGCACTCATTACCGTTATGCAAATCCACCTTTCTGAACCGCCAGGTGATATTCTATTGTTCTTGACTGGTCAGGAAGAGATTGACACGGCAGCAGAGATCCTGTACGAGCGAATGAAAGCCCTTGGGCCCATGGTCCCCGAGTTGATTATTCTCCCAGTCTACTCTGCGTTGCCTTCTGAAATGCAGTCACGTATTTTTGAGCCAGCTCCGCCGGGAGCACGAAAGGTCGTCATTGCTACCAACATTGCGGAAACTTCTATTACCATCGACGGGATTTACTACGTGGTAGATCCAGGATTCGTTAAACAGAATACCTACGATCCAAAACTTGGTATGGATGCGCTTGTCGTCGTTCCGATTTCACAAGCTCAAGCTCGGCAACGCTCTGGACGTGCTGGACGAACTGGCCCCGGAAAATGCTATAGGCTATATACGGAGGCTGCTTATAGAAACGAGATGCTGCCGAATGCAGTGCCAGATATTCAGCGAATGAACTTGTCAAACACTGTGTTGATGTTGAAGGCCATGGGAATCAATGATCTTTTGAACTTTGATTTCATGGACCCCCCGCCTGTTCAAACGTTGATCACGGCTATGGAACTATTGTTCCAGCTCGGTGCATTAGACAACGAGGGCTTGCTGACGCGTATTGGACGAAAGATGGCCGAGTTCCCTCTTGAGCCATCACTAGCCAAGATGTTGATCTTCTCGGTAGATTTGGGGTGTTCGGAAGAGATTTTGACTGTCGTGGCGATGCTTTCGGTTCAAAACATTTGGTATCGGCCAAAAGAAAAGCAGGCACAGGCCGACTCCAAAAAAGCAAAATTCCATCAACCGGAAGGCGACCATCTTACTCTCTTGTCAGTCTACAATGCATGGAAGACCAGCAAATTCTCAAATCCCTGGTGTTACGAGAACTTTGTCCAGGCCCGTTCATTGCGGCGCTCTCAAGATATCCGAAAGCAGTTGCTCGGGATCATGGACCGATACCGGCACGACATTGTCAGTTGCGGCAAGAACTACAATAAAGTGCGAAAAGCCATCTGTGGAGGATTTTTCCGTCATGCTGCCAAGAAAGATCCCCAAGAAGGATATAAGACCCTCGTCGAAGCCACCCCTGTATATATTCACCCATCTTCCGCCCTCTTCAACCGACAACCCGAATGGGTCATTTACCATGAATTGGTATTAACAACAAAAGAGTACATGAGAGAAGTCGTCGCTATTGAGCCAAAATGGTTAGTGGAAGTCGCTCCTGCATTTTTCAAAACTGCGGATGCGAATAAGATTAGTAAACGGAAACGACAAGAGCGATTGGAACCTTTGTTTAACCGGTATGAGAAGCCTAATGAATGGCGTATTAGTCGGGTGCAGAGAGGACATCGGATTTCGCAGACGTTTTAAGGGAGAGATTTGTATTGTGGGTTATGGACACCTGCTGCTGCATTCCTGCAGCAAGAATGTGCAGGCTTCTGCGTATATAATATATAGTTTGTGTTTATTGTCTGCCACATCGTCTAGGCCCTCGTCGTAGGATATCATGCAAACGTGATCAAAAGAGTATCATCGATTAATGTTCGATAACCTGTTCACACGGTCACAAATCTCCAAATTATTGGGAGCAAGCGTCAACATGTATTGCTTCCAGCAGCAGATTTCGCTGCCCGCAAACTATCTTGCTCAGGTTCTTACTCAACGGAAGCTGAGGTGATCGCGTTGCTTGGTCATCTTGTGTTACAGGCAAGTAGAGTTATCCTACAGCACAGTACGGACCTATGAGATAAGATCATGATGAACGCCCTCCACTGCATTCTCTTTTACGTACTCGTTGCGCCTGTGCTAGCCACCACCGCACCCCAATATGACCTTCCGCCTCTTCCGTATCCCCACGATGCACTTGAGCCGCACTTGGATGCTGAGACCATGCTGATACATCACGACCGACACCACAGAGCATATACCAACAATTTGAACGCCGCACTGGCAAAACTTGACAGTGAAGGAGCTTTAAAGGATGAAGGAGAGATTACTGTGGAAGCATTGTTGAACAGGTTGGCGCTGGAAGAGGCTGGTGATGTTGAACGGGCGCGATGGTGGGGTGACGAGTCTATTCGGAAAGATATTAGGAATAATGGCGGTGGTTATGGTGAGCCAAAAATGACCGCGAGATGCTCGAATGAAAATGCGCAAGTGACAATCTTACGCTATTCTCATCAGTAAACCACAAGATCTACTTTGCAAATCTCGCCCCGAATCCCCTCTCGGAGAACCGGCAACCTTCTCCCGGAAGTTCCTTTTCTGTTGCCATACACACGCAGTATCACACAATATCCAACTTCACTCAGCTCTTCACCAACGCAGCACTGTCGGTCTTTGGGTCCGGATGGGTTTTTTTGTGCTATGTTCCGGATACCAATGAAGTAGATATCATTGTCACCAAAGATCAAGATGTACCACAGTTTGCACCTGGTTATGAAGGACGAAACATGACGGTTGTGCTAGCTTTAGATATTTGGGAGCATGCATATTACTTGAAGGTACGTAAAGGCCAATTACATTCTTTGATCCAAGGAAAAGTTGGTAACGGGGGTTTCGACCATTGCGCACGGACGATTTGTTTTTTGTTGAGCAGTACCGAAACCAACGCAAGGACTACATTAGCGCATGGTGGCAGGTGGTCAACTGGACAGACGTTGAAAGACGCTTTGACAGCGGAGTCGGTGTAAAGTCCATACCTGGGGGACGAGATGAACTGTAAAGTTGGCTCCAATGTGAATATAGTGCGGTTAACTTGCGATTGAAATGTGAGTCATTGGGAAATGTGACGCCGCCCTCGCGTGTCCAATTTCCCACAGGATTCCGTGGCTTAACGAATGTCAAAAAGGAAACAGGAACTGGAGGACATTGTGATTTTCAACCAGCAGATTCCTATTGCACAATGGACTATCTTCCACTGAGATACCCTCCCGATTCTGTAGCTGCTGCTTTAGGATCAGATGCCAGTTTTAACCTTCCCCTGACGTCGGACTTTGATATCAGTTCCTTCTCCCTCGATTTCGCTCCCGTTTTCACTGTTGACGATCATTCTTCATTTGCGGCACTGCTTAATAGCGATGGAACGCCCCCTACAGCCCCTATTCCAAATATGTCTGGAGACGTCAGCCCTTTGGCAGGAACACGAGCAGCTGGTCCTGACTTCCACTTTGGTGATGCAGCGACGGAGTTTGAATTTGGCTTTGACTGGGTTAATGCAGCACAATCTATGGAGGTAATGAGATGGAATGCGAAATTGAGAAGTGTGCGACAACTGAAAGTGGCAGACTGGCTAACGCGGAATCTCTATTCGCAGGACGACCCTCTACCGGTGCCGCATGCTCGGTCTCTGGGCCCTGACTGCAACCCCAAAGTCTCAAATGCTGGCAGTGACAAACCACCGACTTCTGGCTCATCAAAGAGAAAATCTATGAGTGGCGATAGTTCTAAACCACCAAAACCTCCCGTATCTACCCGAAGAAAAGCTTGCGGTAATTGTCGCTTACCTTCATGTGCACCATGGGGAGATGGAAGACTAATCCTTGTCTTTGTCGATTCTTTCAGAGCCCTGTCGAGCCAAGAAGCTCCGATGTGACGGAGTGCGGCCTCACTGTTCAACATGCGCCCGATCTCCGCAAGGACCGAGACAGTGTATATATTACGCCGATAATCCGACGGCAGCTGCTGCACTGATGAGCGCAAATGGTGATCAAAATGAGTGTAAAGAAAAGAAACGCCGAGGTGGGGACATGAAGGCACTTGAGGACAGGGTGAATGCCTTGGAAGCGATGCTTGCTACCGCTATTGCGGGTTCATCGTCATCATCGACGAGCTCCCCTCCCCCGGTGCCTGAAACGTCCCCATCACCCCAACAAGAACCAGGTTACTTGAGCAACGAGCCATCACCCCAACAAGAACCAGGTCACTTGAGCAACGAGCCGTCACCCCACAACTCTCCCGCCACACAGTTTGACCGAGAAGACTCGGAAATGGAATTGGTCAGCGACGGGCCACCGGGGCCACCTATGGATCTTCAATCAGTTGCTGCGGCGGTGACCGTTTCGAAAACATGGTTTTGCGACCTTGCAAATCGATTGCGCTTCTTAAAAATTACGCAGCCGGCGGCAATTCAGCATCAACAGCAACCAGCCTTACCACCACCTCCCCCGTCCGACATGCTACCAGACTTGCATGAAGTTGTTGTACGATATGACTTACTTGAACTGTACTTTAGGTATGTCGTAGTGCCGTACCTTTTTTCCCTGATGATTCTTCTGAAATGGTGCTGACGGTAATTGATGATAGCCGAAGGGCCGCGTTTCTACCCTTTGATTTCCTTCACAAGGAAACGCTCATGCGCAACATCCATGAAGAATCGCCGATGCTTTTGTTTGCATTGTATGCTGCCACATGCCGTGCATCCAGTGACGAGCTTGTACGCAATTCCTTTGCCTTTTTCTATGCCAGAGCCAGAAAACTGATTTCTGTGCATGTGGAGTGTCCGACGTTGAGCGGTTTGCAAGGAATTTTGTTCCTTGCTTCAGCATCAATAAGTGAGTTTGCCAACTTGGTGATGCAACCTGAAATGATTGACGAGTTGTTGACCACCGAATTTGCGTATCGTCATTTTAGCGCAGGGATTGATGTCAACGGCTTGGATGTACTTGGGCATGGCATGTCGGATGGCGCAGTTTATCAGGTTGGACGTGGAGCCGGACGATCTGGGAATAACAAATTGGGCAGAGGCCGAAAGTAGGCGCCGCACGTGGTGGTGTGTTTACACGATGGAACTGTAAGGATGTCATGGGTTTTTACAGTCTATCAACCTCATAGCTGATCCACTTCTGGATACTTAGGATCAAGAACACGGTTTTGTCGAGGACACCCTTTTTTAGGGGAAATCCGGGGAGCGTCAAGTACCCCGTGGCCGATGCCATCTGGGAAGCCGCGGATGCCATTGGAAAACTTCCGCCACAAATGGAGGGAGGCAGCTACGTGGCATGGGCTGAGAAGGGATTCCGCTTTATGGATATTTATTCTAAGGTATACGTTTGCTACAGCCAATTAGCAGCCGAAATTATATTGCCAATGTACTGATGATGGGCGATTCCTATAGGCGGTAGAATATAATCGTCAAGCTCTCCGTGACGGCGTAGATTTCAACGCGGTGGATCCGGCTCTCACTGTGCTAGAGGCGGAAATGGAGAACTGGTTTCACACCTTGCCGTCAAGTATACGTCTGGTTGAAAGTCGATACTCGTATGCGCTATCGCCTGCTTCCGACGATCCACCATCAATTCACGCTGTGACATGTTACATGCTATATCAAGGCGCCATGTGTCTCCTCTATCGACCGAGAATGGTAGCCGCCTTTTTGAGTCCCTTGAAACATCCAATGGGTGTCAGGGCTATTGCGGTAGCTCAAAAAGCAGCCAATGATTTGGGTAGTTTAGCCCAGCGACTCGTGGCCCCCAATAGCATCAGTGGAGTGGATGGGGTGGCCTCGGATTACGGAACGTTTCTTCCCGCCATGGGGCTTTTTGAAGCGGGCATTATCTTGATCATGTCGTCGGCTCTCGCATGCGTTCGAGACGAGCCGGAGGCATGCAGTGCCGCCCAACAAAACCTCTTTGGCGTCCTCAAACTTTTGCGTGCCTTGGGTAAACGGCTACCTGCGTGTCGCCTCATGGCTGATGTCATCCAGGTCATCAACAAGGGGGTCATGAAAGGGAAAGCCTGTTTGAATTCCGAAAATCCAGAGGAATGGATGAAGACATTTGTGGGGGGAGATGAAGGCGACTTGGAGAAAGGGATTAGTGATGAGTTTTTGAGTAATTTGAAAAAACGAATGCTTGCTATGCCCGACGGTCTGGTTGGAGGTGAAGCGACTACATGCCAGTAGTCGCATTCTTGCGCATATATCTTTTTTTGAAAAGTAGTGGGGAGGGGTATTTTTTTCTAGTTTGCAATTGTAATATAGATTTGGATTCCATTGACACGCATTGGTTACTACCATTACCCCCCTTGCATCAGCAGCGTTGGGCATAGTGATTACATATTTTCTTATCGCACAAGTGTGTGAACTACAGGCGCATCTTTCCTCCATGTTGGCGCATTCTCCCGGACGACATTGTGGACTTGTTCAGATTGATCTCCATTCAAGGCTTCGTTCAACCACCAGGAGAGGGAGCTGTTAATAGTCATAATCGTTGGCAAGAAAATAGTAGTTAAACAAGTAAAAACAAGGCAGGATATTTTCCGACGTCCAAGTGATGTTCTTGTTGTCATTGCATACCATACAAAAAGTACACGGACATAGCGCCGAAAAAAAGATATATAACTAATAGAATATTTTGGATATTCCTAAATTATTACATACATCATTGTGCAGCTTGAATTTCACCATCTGGAGGTTGATGATTACTATCGGGTGGATGTTCCACAACCTGCACAGTCTTGTCCTGCTCGATCAACGTACTAAAAGTATTGGCAACGCCGACAGTACTGCCTGCAACACCGACATCCAGCGAAACTGCCAATGATTTCCGTTGCGCTTCAAGTTCTCCAGAAACTTTTGGAAGAGCGCCCATAGCGTATGATTTTCGTTTCCAGAGAAGTTCTTGTGATGATGCTTCTGCAGCGAGGATTGGGGGTGCTTCTGTTAGACCTCTTCCTTTGCATGTTGGACAGGTGGTGCAGGTGGGGCAACGGGTTGTTGTGGAGGGGGCTTCGTGTGGTGATGTTTTGTCGGTATGGCTGAATCCACGAGCTGTTATCCCAGAAAAAACGACATGATTGAGTAAGGGGCTTTTTGTAGTTTGTTGGCTTTTTTTTTGCTTGCAAATGCAACGTACCTTCGCATGTCTCGCAGAGGTTTTTATCGAAAATCATGCCAGATCCACCGCATTCTATAATGTAAATGTGTATTGAAATTAGTGTCCAGTGAAATGGGGGTTTTGGAAGCAATGTAGGATATTTGAACAACTTGCCATGACAGTCTGTACATTTCTTGCATCGTACGTTTGTGGCTGTTTTGTGCTTTGAAGGACTGCCGTGCTCCCAGCCCTTGCCTGTTTGCGCAACCATCCAAGAAGAGAATTCATGTTATCTACTCGCAAAAGATGTTTGTTCCAAGGTGCGTTCAAGTATTACCTTGACATTTCGGACAAACGACTCTCTCGGAAGCCAAATCAAAATGCGGTGCCCCTGTTGCCCCCCCTCCATACCCAGACTCTCCACTTTCGACATAATGAACCTTGACAGGCATTCCAGCGACAAGCCCACTCCCTAGTGTAGCCGGCTTTGGTGCAGCTATTGGGTTCGTCTGAGCTAAACCTGTAAGCGCCTTTGACACTTTTTTGGATAACTCCAGTGCTGGATCAGGCACTTGTGCTAAAAACTTTCCTGGCCCTAATTGAACTTGTGGGCCGTAATGCCGAGCGTGTTCCTGGACTTCCGCTAGCTGGGCGGTCAGGTACTGGACCTGTTGCTCGAGCCGTTGAATGTGGGCAACAAAAGGTGCGATCCGCGATGATACCAAGTTGTCTAGGTGTGCGAATATATGGGAATCGTAGGACCTGAGGGAGGAAGCTGGGCGGAAGGTTGAGGTTGGGGTTTGGTAATATGAGGATCGATCGGAGAACTGTGTGTATTCAGAAAGGGGTCTATCGTCCTCTGCGAATGTCCGATGTGAGGATGCACGATCTGAACCGGTGTATTGGGATAGAGGAATATCTTCATCATCATCGCTGTAGGGACGAGAATTGATTGATGGTGCGAGGGATGATGCTGGGGGTGCTGAAGACATACTTGATGTTGCGTTCGCTGATGGGCGAGTTATGGGTTGCGTGTCTTTGCCTTTGGATTGGTGAGATGAGGTGTGCTGCGATGATGAGGAAGCGACATGGTTGACCAGAGGAACATCATCATCCTCGTCGCTCGCAAGTATTGGCGCCGCTGTTTTGGACGACGAAGTTTGGGCTAATGGGATATCATCATCGTCGTCTGAGTACTCAATAGCAGCAACGCTTTGATGTGCTTCCGACTGTGCTGGGGGTACGTCATCAGTATTGTGAGGTCTCGCAAGTGGAACATCGTCGTCATCCACAGGTTGTTCTGCATTCGTTTCTGGTCCCTTCAATACCTCTACACGATCCAAACTCTCCGCAAGCTCAGGCAGGCTGGATTCAGGATCAGGTGTGTGCATAGAGTGACCATTATCTTTTGCTGTGAATTGAGGTGGGTCGTTGTCTTCCATGGGGCTTGCGAGGTCGCTTCGTTCCTCTTCGTCCATTTATATATCGAGCTTAAAATATGGACGGCTTCTGAACCTTGGCACACCTTTTTTCCACGGCCTGCCCTCTAGATCTAAACCCGAGCGTCACAGATCTGAAAGTACCCTTCCTAAAGACTTAATGCGTTGAATACAAAAGTCGGATATCGGAATACCAAGAATTCCGGATGCAAAACGTGAGCTTCTTTGCACAGAGGGGACAGCCAAAACTAAACAAACATTGGACTTCTGAAAGACAAAGGGGATTTGATGAAGAAACGTAAGCTGGAAAAGATGACATCGGCTAGTTTTCCTCACATGCACGGATGCTATTGTCCGCCATTATGATCCCTATAAATAAACATGTCTTTGGATCACTATTCTTTCCGACTCGTTGCCTCAGACATTGCAGGATGAAAGCTTCTAAAGATAGCTGCGATATCCCATACCGTGCATATCCGCCGAAAACAACCGGTAGAACCAAACTATTGCAACTGCGACGTTAATTGGTGGCCGGTTTTATGGTCAAGGTTTCCCAAGAGAGTCAGAGGCGTTGTCATGATCCCGTTGTGTTATGTTTAGCTCGTTGGGATATGGATTAGACGCTCGAGGTTTTTTTGAAATTTACTCTGGGACGGGGACTTTTTGTTGGCAAGGGTTTTTTATCTTGTTATCCCTCCAAACATCATACTTTTGCTTTTTGGATCACTTTGTGTATTCAGACTCGTTGCTCGTCCAAGCTAGTTTTTTTTTTCCGATTTCATGTCGTCGTTGGTGGAAGGCTTAAATATACCCAAAAGTAGGTTTGAGCAGTACACTGGCGGGATATTGGATGCAAACGGTGGATAATTGACCCAAGCACTTTTATTCCTTGTGCCAATACACAGATATCCTTGAGCGAAAGAGCTCCACAGGGTCACTGATGAGCACTTCCTCCATGGACGACACATTCATGCTGTCAAATGGCGACACAGATGGTCAGCATGGATCCTTTGCCTTTTTCTCTGTTCCTCCACCTACACCGGCCATGGCCAACCTGGCGGAAGAAGAAACAGAGCACGATCCGTTGCAGCAAACCGTGGCATCTCAAAAGTCAGCATCGTTGGAACCATTGGCGGACCGTGGCACGAATGTTGGCAGCAGTGGAGGGCTACGAAGGAGCTTTTCACATGGCTCGGCACCAGCGTTAGTTTCAGGTCGGAAGACTTTGGTGGTCCGGGGACGGGGAGGAAACACTGGTCGCAGAAATAATCAACATGCTCGCAGAAGGTCTGCGTCAGGACTCCCGCGGCTGTCTTTAACTGCCATCAACGAGGCTTTTGTGGTGAATGCAAAGGATCCCATGTTGAGCCCATGCGACGATGAACCAGAGAGTCCCGTCGATGCGGATGGTGGATTATCTGTGGTACACCGGATTACATCGTATAGCTCGTCGGATGTGAGCATGTTGCAACACGGCGGTTCACTGGATGGTCTGGCTAGTTTAACGAATGGTTTAACGTCTTCATCAAGCATATACGAGCAAAGTAGTTTGGAGGAAGGAGTAAATGGAGCTGGATTGGGAATAGGGATGGACGGCTTTGTGGGTGGATCATTTGTGGACGCTCTTGAAGCTGCTGCGACTCTTCAAGGAGCGGATCGAGTTTCAAACTTGTCAACGTCAACGTCTGATGTCGGCGAAGATGTGGAAGCCATGCTTTTGGCTGAATTTGATGAGAGTGCAGCGCTCATGGATTTTGACTCGGCCGCCAGGGAATCGATCGATCACAGCCATTACTTGGCTCTACAAAATAGAGGTTTGCTGCCTCCAAGCCCTCAGTCAAGCAACTCATCGCAACACTTTGATACGGGCAGTTCGCATCAATCCCTCATCTACCCTGGATATACGCAAACGCCGCCACATATAGCGGCAGCTCTAGCATATGGCTACGGGGCGCTGACTGTCCTTCCTCCTACCGGAATGGTCCCGGGCGGCGGCTATACTCCCTACACAGCAGGCACTCTGAGGGCTCAGAGCCCGCAGATCCTTCGCCACCCCTCACCTGCCCCCACATCTCCTGTTGTTGTCAATACTACAGGGCCGTCTCGTGCGTCTCCCTACCCTCTGCCAGTTAACCCTTTATTGATGTCCCGGAGTCGCACGCGGTCTGTGCCCGCTATGCGTCTGCAAACAAACCTAGCAGCTTCCAACAACAACAACAGCAACAACAGAAGGCAGCCTCTCAGCGCGGGACTCTATCCTGTGACGCCCGGCACACCAAATTCTCCGCCCTCCCCAATGACACCCATTTCCCCAACGATATCTGCATATGGCAGTCTCGACAACCATGTTGTTGGGTATGGATCGGCTGGGTATCCACTGGGCTTGTCGCAGGGCTCTTCCGGATCGCTACCGACACTCCATACTGCTAACCAACCACCACAGCTCGAGCACGATTATGCATATCTGACACCCACCACACCGCTTCACGGTCGTCTCAAATCGGGGCGTCATTCCACTTCCTCCCTCGCTAGCCCAAACTACGTAACCCACAGCGCGCCCCATAGCCGCCAATCCATACCCCGTGTTTCTTTTCCACGGACGTCATCGACACCCACTCCATCTTCCGATGCCAGCATCCCTCATGTTAGGATTGACGATCTGATTCGCGAACATGACGCACTCGTGGCCCAGGTTGCAGAGGCACAAAAGGCTCGACGAAAGGAAGATGAGGAGACTTCCAAGATGATAGAGACTCTGAATCGGCTGATGGGCGTGCATGGGATTTAGAAAAGCAAAATGTTGGGAGTTTAGAGTTTTTTGCAAAATGGGTAATTATATACCAACAATGGGAGATTAGACTGTTCAGTAGGAAATTTCCCCCCCAATATTTTTTTTTTTTTAGATTTCCATATTTTTTTGTTTTGTTGTTGATTCCTGTTGCTTTCATGGCTGGTTCAGTAATAATTATTCATTGACGTCCTTTCAAAAGAATTGGTTTTGATAAAAGTATCTCGACTTTGGCAAAGTGTGCTTCAGTTGTTATACGAGTGGTTGCCAGCAAGAACCGTCTTTGAAAATCACAATGCAGCAGCCTCAAAAGCCTCTAGAGTTGCACTGCCAGTCCCATCAGTGTTCTGCATCGGGCTTGTCGTCGACCCTCTAGGTGTTTGGATTCAATGCACAGCTATCACCCGATGGGCTTGAGCTTGTTCCCTTTACTCAACAACCCTGATGCTGACCACGAATCATTGGCGTTCCCGCGGGTTTTGCTCGTCTCTACAGCCTCCATTCCAAGGACGGTGTCGAATGATTGAATCAACGTGAATCAACTCTGCGTTCGGTAGCCAAAAGCCTTTTTTTTTGTCTCTCTGGCAAGGCGAGCAAGGATAACGCTGGGTTAGTCATGTTTTTTTTTTTTCGGTACTGGGCAGGTCGGTAGGTAATCGTTCAAATGTCCATTGGTGATTGGAGCCAAATGGCAAGTGTGTGATGCGCAAAAAGACTCGAGTCGTTTGATAACGATATGACACTTGAGTAAGGATGACGCTGTGTAGGAGGGAAAGAAACCCAGCAGGAAAGCAAAGACAGGTATTTGGTAGAATCCTCCATACTTGTCTGTCGTTTGGAGATCCCTTCCAACGATTTCGAGTTTTTTGTTGCAAGTTGGCTGTTTGCAAGTCTCTTGTTTTCACGCGGGATTGTGGAACTTTTTGTTGAAAGGAAACTTCAGCTCATCTCCCCCCCAACCAACCAACAGAACTCGAGGGGGGTCAGAAATGACGTACTGCATTTTGTTCAAAGGGTATGGGCACGTTTTCCCCCCCAAAAATCATCTTGAATTGCAATTACACACACCGATATCCAAATTCCAATAGTTGCTACCAACAAAAAAGATTAACTATTTCTATAAAATGTACAAACTAAAAAAAAAAGGGCACGAGCTCAAAGAAAAGCCTTTTGGGGGGGCTGTCACCATTTGGTAGGAGGGAGAAGAAGGATCGAAAGCAAACAAGCGCTATGCAAAAGGGGCCAAAAGATCGCTGTGAACAAGAAAGCTGATGTCACAACCTGTTCATTCGTCGCTTGGTCAAAGGACAATGCAGGGTTTTGATGGGATCAACTACTTGTATAAATGCCTCTAGGACATGTCACACTACTCTCCACATCCCTCCTCAAGTCAACACTTGAAAAATACGTTTAAAATATCGCCCTCCTTTTGGCGCATTCTTCCCTCAGATTGAACTGTATTGGTTAAAAAGCTTCCATTACATTATAGCCCATACCGAACTTGCATCATGAAAATCCAGAACCTTGTCTCTCCCCGCCGCGACAATACCTCTCTGCCAACGAACGGCAATACCAATGGCGATGGCATACCCAATGAAGTGCAAGGACAAGGTCGTGACCCGATGACGATACTCAAAATGCCGATGCGTGGGACGGTTCATGTTCCTAGATCGAGGATTTGGAGAGCTGTTGTTGCGGAATTTATTGGTACTGCATTCTTTGTCTTTTTCGTTGGTGGTATGTATATTTTTCATTTGGTGGATGGTGGCAAGAGTTGAATCTAATACTAAGGTTTTCTATGGTATAGGTTCTGTTCAAACACCTGCCATCATACGCAATGAAGCCCCAGCTACAGCGGCCGATTTCGTTATTACCGGCTTCGTGCAAGGTCTCGCTATCCTCTGTCTCGTCGCATCCATTGCAGGCATTTCCGGCGGTCATATCAACCCGGCGGTTACAGCCTGTCTGATGGTGGTTCGCAGTATGCCAGTCATAACTGGCATCATGTACATGATCGCCCAGTTTATTGGTGCGATTGTGGGTGCTGCTCTCTTTAAGGCTTGCGTAGCGTCACGTAAGTTTTTTGAATTTTCGGGGGTGTAGTGCCGTACGTTTCTCAACTTTTTTATTTTTAGGCGGTGGTGACCTTGGAGCTACCGTTCCCACCTGGTGGATTAACCCATTCCAAACTATTCTGATCGAGTTCTTTATCACGTCGATGTTACTGTTTGTTGTCTTGTCCACAGCCGTTCATGCGGGTGTGACCTCGTCGGGAATCAAACCTCTGGCACCCATCCCAATCGGCTTTGCTGTTGCAATTGGTGTCTTTTTAGCGGGTCCTTTGACCGGTGGATCAATGAATCCAGCCAGGTCCTTTGGTGCGTACTCGTTTGGTGATTGTCTCGTAGATGGAAACCGCTTCATTTTAACCCCATTTTTTTGCTTAAACAGGTCCGGCCGTGGTATCCAACACTTGGCGATACAACTATGCATTTTGGGTTTCCCCCTTCCTCGCATCCGTAGTGGTAGGAATTTTATACAAGATCATCTTTTTATCAGCACCCATCAGCCAAGAGCAAGCACACAACTCTGGACTGGAATTCGCTCCCTCACATGTTACTTTGGACATGGGATCAGCAACTCCCGAGGAGCGTGCTCTGGCGTCGAGGCCTACCGGCATCTCTGAAGCAGAGTTTATAAATCGCAGTGCCTCCAATGAAGATATATGTAGGGTTCCTCTCGGAGTCGGTACAGCCGTGATGCGTAGTACTGGCCAAGGCGTGACAGAACAGTCACTGCACAGTTCGCCCCTCACCGGGGTGGAGAGGGCTGTATGAGGTTTGGAGCTGCGGTATTGCACCCACATATCATTGCGCAGGGTAGTATACAGAAGCGGGCGCAGTGGGGGGTTCTTGTACAATTTGAAGGGCTGTGCAGATAAATTCAGGTCGTAGCGTAGGTTGTAGCACAAGTCGTAGGGTTGCGAACAGGGAAGGCTGAGAATGAGGTTTGCGTATATATGTTATACCATCTGTGAGGTTCAAACAATAAAGAGAAAATATTCTGCTATTGGTCCTGCTTAACCGAGTTTTGAATATCTCATCATACAGGCAAGAGAAGGGAGATATACCAAGCTATCTCATAATACAGCTCGAGTCGACGTATTTAACGGTCGGACAGAGCAGAAACATGGCAGTGGTTTGAATTTGATGTATTTAAATGACGAATATGTGGTATCCCATCCATTTGCTGCGTGCCCCTGACAAAATCCGAGTGTTCCAAGCAGTTTCTTGCATTGTGGGTTGTTGTTGTTGCATTCTTTAACTCGCCATTTCATAGCTGTTCGTCTGGCGGCATTAAACCTGGGTAACGCCAACGCTGGTGTGGTTCTGCTATTAAATACCTTGACTCGAGTTGTATTATAGAAAACGTCCCAGTCCCGTGATCTGCTGACATTCACCTTCTACGTAGGAGTTGAGTCATTTTTGGTTCTAAAAGCATGCTACGCACGTGACTGAATGCATATAACTGTTACCGTCCTGATGTCGTACTTTCATTAGCGTAAAGGAATGGGATTCCTTGCAAGGATAAACAAAACCTGATATACTCGGGCTTTCCTCATACCAGTACATAGTATTCAACAAAGCCCAATAACTTGTTCACAAGAGTGCGCTTGAACCTAGTGACCTTCTTCGAACGTGGCACGTATGTTGTTGCGCCTTGGTCTAAAAGCCGGCTACCAAGTCTTGTATAATCGCTAGAGTCCAGTACTTGGCCTGGAATCCAGAGCGTTGGAATGCCATACATCCTAATTACCAATAGAAGGGATAACGATGGTTCGGCCGCATTGCAAAAGCCCTGGCCCGCGGCCTTGTTTCCCTCTATCTGCTACATAATCAACAACGTCTAGGAGCCATGAACTATGAACGTGTTTTTACCGTGGGTCTCTTTACATGGGCAGTTATACGTAGCAGTTTCGCCATGTTAGATCTCATAGTGGTTTAAAAATACGTGCTATGTAGTGAAAATAAAAGACTTTTTGCCGGGGCATACACATGATATAGCGTATAGACAAATGCTTCATAGGATAAAAGTAACAATATACTTGCATTTGTGTATTTGCCTTCTGTCCTATTATATTTTGGGTCTTCTTGTCAAAGTGCATTGCATGCAACAGCGGGGCTCAACACTAGTCATGTCATAACCAGTCATAACCAATTCTAGCCAACAGAAGCCAAGGTCGACATCTCAATTCACAGCTTTCTCGCTCCTCGTCCTCCCAAAGACCCAACAGTTGACTTTTCTATTTCTTTCCAACGCACACACACACCACAAAGCAACGCCTCGTTCCGCCCAACCTGACCCCCAGTACAAGCTTCGTTACCGCATCGAATGGTGGATGGACCGACAAATCCGCCGCACTACGCGCTTTGCCAGACGGGTGCAAACGTTTTTGTTTGGCAGCCCACCAGAACCCCCCAGCCCATTGCGAAAGTTGTGAAAGGGACCCCTGTTGTCGGCAATTGGGTGGACTATCCCACCCCCGAAGGCCCCTCGCGAGGGGAAATCCTGCACGTAGGCACAATCGACTACATTCGAGCCGACAGAATCGTCACTGACGATTCGCCCGTGTACGTCGTGGAAGATGAGAACACATTAGAGCACAGAGGTACCTTTAAATTGCCCAAGTTAATCATTCAAGTGATTTACTTATTCACATTTGGTATCTCTTCATGTCTGCAGTGCTCTCCAAGCGGTCCTTCACCAAGCTATCCCCGGCCGCCCCTTGGATTACCCGTGAGGGAGGGGGTACCGTGTAGGAATATCTTCTTGGAAAACACATCAGTCGTTTTGACGTTGCGGATGGGTGTCGGCCAAGGGTTATGTAATGATCGCGATTGTTTGCACGTGATATATTGAAAGCAGATGATATGAATATACTATATACAAGTGTGCTTTTGCCTCCTTCTCGACTAGCCACTACATCCATCACTCTCGGCATTATCCTCAGGCTGCTCGCCATGAGCAGCCACACCCTTCTCCTCCGGGACGTCTTGAAGTGGTTTTCTCGGACGACACTTGCTTTGACTCCGCGTAGATTTCGTCTTTTTGTCCTTTTTCTTTTTTGGTTTGGGTTGTGAGGGTGGTTGGGCGGGTGTTTGAACAGCCGAGTAGTATTGAACCGGATAGTACATTGCATACGATTGTTGCTGGTACTGGTCTTGGTAGTATTGATCGTAAGCATGTTGGTATTGGTCGTAATACTGTTGATATTGCTGATAATACTGTTGTTGGTATTGCTCATGTTGTTGTTGTTGCATGTACATGGCCCACAATTGCTGTTGCTGTTGGTGTTGATCTTGATGTTGCTGCGGGTCTTGAGAAGAGTCGATTTGTCCTGGTGTAGTCGCGGGCGTTGGGTCCATGCCAGCGGTTGGCTGGTATCCAGGAAAGACAGTGACAAGAGGCGTCGTAGATTGGAGGGAGGTTGTAGGGAGATGAGGTGACGCGGGCGGTGTAACGGTCTGTGATGGGTGATGGGGATATACAACCCAACCGGAACCGGCCTGGAGAGGGACTACACCATCTTCTGGTTTGGCCAGAGTCCAACCTGCCGACGATGCGGGGGTGCTGCTTGGTGGCGACGGGAAGAACGACGACCGACGTGCGGGGGGGACCGGCTTGGACGGTTCCTCGTTGGGAGCCGTTACTGGACTTCGCTTTGATACTGCGTATTGCACGGCAAGTTTTCGTGCCGCACGGCCTCTTGGTGCATTTACTCCATCCGCTGATCCAGGATGCAATGTCGATCCTCGTCGGCCGCCTACAGCGATCCAGACTGGAGTGTCACTATCGCTATCGCTACCCGAAAAATCTGATTCCGAATCCGAAGAGTACGATGCAGGTACATCTCGTGGCCCACGCTTGGATGCACGGTTGAATGCGCGCGGAGCGGCATCAGCTGCCCTTGTATTGCATTTGGACAAGAAGGCCTTGACGGAAACTTTGGGAGCAGCGACGCCGCCCAAACCCTTCCACCTGCCAAAATAATCTCCTCTTATATCTGCATCAGGGTCGATGTTGTCTCCTGGAGTATTAGTCTGAGATAGATCTTTTTTCAATGAACGCAAAAGCGTTGACGTAGTGAGCGAATCCCTCCTGGCTCCAACTTTGTGGATATGGGCCGTGTAGGCCGAGCCGTGCTTTGGCGGTTCCTTAAGAGATGCATGTTGCTGTTTGGGTTGCGACCGGTTTTGAGGAGCGCGGGGTGGAGGTGTTGGGTCTGCAAGAAAGACAAGTGTGGGTAAACATGAACTTTCGAGAACACACAAATGGCGCTTACCTTTTTGACCATCTGACATATCGTTTGCCATTAATCCGTCGAAAGTCGACAAAATATCCTCGAGCAGGTCCACATGCGCGGCTTCCAACTGTAACGGCACGGTCTTTTCCACGTAGGTTGAGTTGGTGCGTCTGTTCCCGCCGTCTTCCACCATGATCACTGGTTCATTAATATCCCTGTCTCCCCCGCGCTTTTGTGCAGGAAATAAGAGTTTTCCTAATCCCATCGTTGAAATATAAAAGAAGGAGGAGCGAGAGAGTCCCGCGCAAGTCAAAAGACAAAACGCAACGGGCGGCGAGGCCTTTAACAGCAGAAACGGCGGCTGAAGCAACACACGACGAGATGGGACGTCCAACTGTCAAAAAGACAACAATAAAAAATAAAAAAAAAATCTTGTGTCGGCATCAAAATCCGTGAAAGGTTCTTGTTCCTAATTCAATCTTTTTGAACACTGCAGAGTTCCCATCCTTCACCAATCTTCTGAACCCGAATAATCGTTAAGAATTTCTTAACTGAAAGTTCCCTTGCACCAACAAGTGTTTTGGAGCGTTGGGACCTACGGGCCATTTTCAAGCGTGCGTTTCATCTTTTGCAAGTGTTCAAAAGAACACCAAGACTCGCGATCTCGCTTCAAATCGGCAACCGAAATTAAGCCACATTTCATTTAATTAAAGTTTCATAATTGATTATGTCATTCTCATCACATGTACTCACGTGTTTTGTGACATAAACGCGCAACGTTCCAAGTGTGTTGCTTTTTGCCCTCTGCATCATGAGAGTCATTGTCGTGGTCGGTGCTGGGAGCATTGGCTCCAACATTGCTTACCACCTTGTTCATCACGCATCCTTTGATGCCTCCAAGGATAAAGTCATTGTCATTGACAGAGAGGGCGTTGCATGCGCTGCGTCAGGCAAGTTCCGTTTTGTGTTTCTTTGAGTTTTCCAGCTCATATAATACTTTTTGAAATTATTAGGAAAGGCAGGCGGATTCTTGGCACAAGATTGGTCAGACGGGACACCCCTCCAATCTCTTGCTCGTGCTTCTTTTAAGCGGCACGCAGAATTAGCCAAGCTGCTTAATGTGGATTACGGATATAGGCCAATGGACACCTTGCATGTCGCTTTCAGTGAGAGAGGAGGAAAAAAGAGCGTGTGGTGGTTGAATCAGGACAAGGTCTCTCGTGTCAGTGTTATGGGGACAACGTCGAATACTGCTCAAGTGTAAGTACAGTGTTTAAATTTTGCAGGGCGTTGCTTGTTGGGCCTTGGCCAGCGTGAGTTTTATGAGACTGACCCATCTCGGTTTTGTCAGACATCCACGCCTCTTAATGAACGCTCTGATGGACGACGCAGTCAAAAATGGAGCTCAACTGGTCCTCGGGACAGTAGTCAACATTGACACATCTACAAATACAATCCACTACATTCCAAAAGACGCTTCCACCGCAGAAGAAACCATGACTTACACCGATATCATCATTGCGATGGGACCTTGGACGGGGACGGCATCAGCCTGGATACCCAACATCCCATCATCCATAAACGGATTCAAGGCTCCCAGTATTGTCTTTAAGACATCCGATCTCCCGCAAATGGTCTCTCCTCATGCCATCTTTACCCAGATTTCGATGAAGGGCAAGGTAGCCTCGCCAGAAATATACCCAAGACCCGACGGAACCGTGTACATATGCGGGGAGTGCATCACCCCCGATACACTACCACCCTCTCCCGCTGATGTTGCGCCCTCCCCTGCCGACATGGAGGAACTCAAAAAACTTGCGGCGCAAGTCATCCCTGATGTTGCTGCATGTCCCGTCATAGCCGAGCAAGCATGCTACGTTCCCGTACCGCCGGGAAATGTGCCCGTGATGGGACGCGTAAAAGGATACGATAATGTATATGTAGCGGCGGGACATACAGTTTGGGGAATACTGAATGGACCTGGAACCGGGATGGTGATCAGTGAATTGGTTCTGAGTGGGCAAGTGACGTGTGGGATTGATGTAAGTGGGATCATGGATGGAGGAGTCTTTGCCGTTGACGAATAGGTGGATGTGGATGTATGATGTGCATTGGGGGTTTTTTTTGTACACTTTGCAGGGCTGTGCAGATAAATGCAGGTCGTAGGGTAGGTTGTAGTGTCAGTGGTAGCGTTGCGAACAGGGAAGGCTGAGAATGGGGTTTGCGTATATGTTATACAATCTGTGAGGTTCAAACAATAAAGAGAATATATTTTGGTACGGTTATTGGTCCTGCTCAAACGAATTTTTTGGAGATTTTGTCGTAAAGGCAGCAGAAGGGAGATACACCAAACACTGTGTCTTTGTAAAGGTCAACGTTCCAAGTTGATACCTGTGTGTTGGGGGCCGTCTAGTATTAGGTTCCACTGGGTACAGCCAGTTTTGTCCATGCTCATCAAACGATTACCAGCAGTATCCTGCTGCTCGATCGCGCTGAACATTGATCAAGATTTGCAAGCGCTACGTTAAAGCTGTGAGGTAGGCAAAAGCTCAAGTTCGACACTACAATGCATTTTTAAACTCTTCATTATTATACAAGTATTAACTATTTAAACAGTACCTCATGAGCTCCTTTCATTTCTTGCTAGACACACTATACAAAGTCCCAGTATCTTTAAAACAGGATGGTCCGGCCCTCAGCGGAACTCTTTTGAGCCAACTCGATAGCTCTAATGACCACAGCAGCCTGCTCTGGCTTCACGACCAATGCCTCACTCGACTCAGCACGTATGGCTTCAGCGACATTCTCAAAAAAATCCGCATAGGCTCCTTTGATCGTTTCGATTTTGGTTGGGGCGGGTGTATCCGGTGTCCACATCTCACCATACATGTTTTCGGCCTCGGCACCGAATTCGGGAGCTGTCGGTAGGATCTCGGAACGTAGTTGACCTTCTTGTGGGTCTAGTCCGTGTTTAATGAACGTTCCCTTTGTTCCATGGACGGTGAAACGGGGACCAGGATGGGCTGCCAGCATGGTCGATTTGAGCGTAACGAGCTTTGGGTGGGGCACTGTGTAGTGAAGGTTGATGGTGAACGCGTCGTCAGTTGGGGCGCTCAGCTGGCGAAAATTTCGAATGAACGCTGTGATGGAAGTGGGTGGTCCAAAGAGGGTGATGGCTTGATCGATCAAGTGGGAGCCTTTTTGTTTGTTCGTTTGAGGAACCATGTCGCAGAAGAAACAGAAATGTGAGCGGACCTTACCTAGGTCATACAAGATCCCGCTTCCAGGGTAATCCTCCTCCCTCCATGCATCAGGCTTTACAAAATTCCTAAACCTCTCATACCGACTCTCAAGCTCCACAACACGTCCAAAGGCATCATCATTTAATAGCTTTGCAACCGTTAAAAAGTCTCCATCCCATCTGCGGTTCTGGTATACGGCCAACACCCTCTTCTTTTCCTTTGCCAATGAGATCAACTCTTGGGCTTCAGCATATGTTGCCGTAAAAGGCTTTTCGACAATGATATGTTTGCCAGCTTCGAGAGCTTGCTTGGCATGCTGATAGTGAAGGTACGTTGGAGATGTGATAATAACCAGATCAACAGACTTTAAGAAATCATTCGAGTCAGTTGTGACGGGGATGCTCTCGAAAGATGGGACGGGATCCGCTTTGGTTCGAAGAAAGCTTTTGAGTTGAAAATGGGGGCTACTTGTGATGAAGGGTGCATGGAAGGTACGAGCAGAGAGTCCAGCGCCAATGATGCCAACTGTGATAGACATGGTCGTCCCAAACGTTTATAGCGATTATCAAAATATGCGAATGCGTAACGAATGCGTAGGGATATCCCTTTTTAAAATTAATCGACGACCGTTCGACAAAAGGGTTATCGAATAACTTGGACGGATCGACAAAAAAAAACCCCCCAAAGGGCGCAGATCTTTGATCGATAGAACACCTACTTATTAATGACGTTCCATGTGGCTTGGCTGTGATTACCTCAGCAACGTACCCAGCCTTCAACGACTCAAGACATTGCAATCCGTTCAGCAACCATATGGAAAAAGGTTTAAAAAGTAGTATGGTACATACAAGCAGCAGCCAAAACCCGCCTTGATGCCCCTTACACAACGTATTACTACAGGAGGTGACCAGCACGACAAGGGCACGCTATCATAACCCTCTTTTTTTCTATCGTCATAGAGTGTAGCGAAAAACACCTTATCAAAAAGATGGCACAGGAGTTCTTTTTATATCATACAACCGGCGACAGCAGCCGTCATCCATGTGGAAAGGTTACCAATCAACATGGCCGACACAGCGAGTTCAGCCAGGTCCTTTTTACGTTTTGGAGAAATGGCGCCAAGGGCTGAGACCTGGATCCCTGTTGAACCCAGGTTGGCAAATCCGCAGAGAGCAAAAGCAAGGAGTTGGAAGGCTATCATAAATGCAGAAATTGAATAAATAATTGTTATCGATCGTCATGAAAGGCGATACCAAGTTATACGTACTTCGCTGGTTGACACGTCCAGCCTTGTTAAAGTCGCCCAAATTTGAGAATGCCACAAACTCATTCAGCAAAAGCTTTTGAGCCATGATCTCACCAGCTAATCGTGCTTGATTGGCACTCACGCCCAAGCACCATGCAAAGGGGTAAAAGACGAATGACAGAATGTAGGTAATACTGATCCAAGTGTCGTGGGGTCCAGGATTGGCAGGGTCAGGAGAGTCACGGTGGACGTCAATGATATCAAATGCCCAGCCAACCAAACCGTTTGCGGCCTGGTACAACGCAACGATAGCGAGAATGGTGGCAGAGATGAGGATAACGAGCTGGGCACCCGTGGCCGCGCCGTTTGCGGCGGCGTGAAGAAAGTTGCTCGCCTTGTCCTCACTTTCGGGAACAACGACCCGACCCTTTGTAAGCGACTCTTCTTCTTCGGGGTATCGCATTTTCGTAAGAGCGAGAGAGGCAGGGATGGACATGATACAAGCAGTGAGGATGAGGTACGCGTCACCAACAATCAAGACATAGCCCAACAAAACGGATCCGGAAATGGTAGCGAACCCACAGGTCATGACAGCGTGCAACTCGGATTTTGTCATGTATTCGATAAAGGGGAGCACCAACATGGCGTTTTCCACTTGTCCGACAAACGGTGAAGCCGCGGCTACAATCGATTCAGCACCGGATGTGTCCATCAGACGCATCATGATGGCACCCATCTTTTGGACGGCGTACTGCATTCCTCCCCAGTAGTATACGATGGAAATGAAGGCACAGAAAAAGATGATGGCAGGGAGGACGTTGATGACAAAGTTTTGGTTTGGCACAGGGCCAAATAAGAACTCGAGACCGTTGTGAGAGTATTTAAGGAAACCCGTAACGAACGATGAAATCCATTGGAAAATATTGGCACCCACAGTGGTACGCAGGACAATGAGGGCAAAGATAAATTGGAAAAAGACACCGACAGCGACCGTTTGGAGGTTGATCGCCTTGACCTTTCGTGAACTTCCAGCCGCGATCAATAAAAAGAACAGGACGCCGCCCCAGCTCTGCAACCGCTCTCCAACTGTGGATGGCCGTCCAGTCGTGAAAATGGCCATAAGCAAGAGTCCAACAAGTGTAGCGACCAGCAATGCCGCCCAGACCAGCCAGGACGGGAATTTGCTCGCAGCCGCTCCGACCGTTGATGTCCAAACCTTTCCGAGAGGGTCGTAGATGAGTTTGGACATGGATATATGACGAGCGAGGAGTCGGAGAGTAACAAAGACCCAAATGACAGTGAAAAGATGGAAACCATCCTTATCCTTTCCCTTGACAAAAACGGCGACCGCATACGCCGTCATGAGGAGCCAAATGGCCAGATCAATAGCCACAGCCCTAGCAGGACGTTTGCCAAAATATGGCTTTTCTTCCTGCAGACGACGCTTTCCTTCCTCGTCAAAGATTGCATCTTCTGGCAGCACTTCAGGAACCTGAGCCGTCCCAGCTTCTACTATAGGTGCCTCCTTTTCCATGACGTTATGAGATGTCGTGAACGAATGGGGTTGTTGGCGGGGTTGAACTATGCTCTATGCCGAGCAAAACGCTGGTTATCCCCTGGAACAGCGACTGCTCGAGCAAAGAAACAAGAGAGGAAAGGAGAAGAGAGGGTGCAATCCTCCCCCGGCACCCTTTAATTTGTATGTTTTTTGGCGAAAAACGACCCAACAACCAAAAAAAAATAAAGACAGTGTGTGGAGATAAGGCTTTGTGGGGTATTAATCCTAGTTTGGACAAAACACACTACAAAAAAAAAGAGTTGAAGAAAGCGTCGGAGAAAAAGATTAAGACCTCCATAAAGAAAAAAAAGTGTTCGAAATTGCTTGTCCTCGTGAGCTGCAAACGAGACTCTAGATAAGCTATGAAATGTCCCAAAAGACTTGGATTTTTTGTCGTATCGCTTGAAGGTGAACGGTATCTTTATGCCTTTGTCCATTTTTTTGCCGCCGTTTGATTCCGCAAAGTTGGCCTTCAAGTTCCTAAAACGTCTTGTTATAATTGCCTTTTAACGTTCCCCCCGTCGGAACGCGCGGTCAATTCTTGAAATTATAAACAAGGAAAAAGAGTAAATTCAGCCGTTTTTTAAAACGCTACAAGTTTCTGCGCTTTTTGTGACGTCTTTTTTTGTTTTTGGACGGAGCAAGTCGTCTGCGCATTCGCTGCCTTGCTGGTCGAGTCTTTTAAAAATGGAATGCAAAAGGTCAAAGGTCAACTGTCAAGTGATGTGTTCAGGCGGCACACACACACACAAGAGATTTTGAAGTGCACAAGATCTTGGCACTACCATTGTGTGCTTTTGGGCGTTAACCTTTAGTCTTGGTTTTTCTGCTCCCTCCGAAACGCTTCAAGAAGGGAGAAGCCTGCAAGTTGCAAGTTGATTTGCATCTGATGGACAGAGGCATGGATTGCTCAATGACATCCCACGATAACCAAATGAATTTTCATTTCGTTCAACATTCCAACAGCAGTCGTGGTTCATTGACCCCGTTCAGGCGCTGAGTGCATATCACAATTGCATCCATCATAAAAACTGTTTTCGAGTCCGTCGTAGATTCGCAAGTGTGCTGAAAAAAAAAAGTCGTGGCTTTTTGCAAGTGTGACGATGACATAATCACGTCACGAGTGGGCAGTCGAATGCTGACAGACACACAAGTGCGCGGACCAAAAGATCCTCCGGTCGGAGCGACATGCTGAAACGAAAAGTTGGCAGCAGCGGGCTCCAAAGTATTGAGACTGTTCCTAAACGCATAAAAGAATCGTCTCAGCCTGTTTCGCCGGTTGTGTCTGGTAGCGTTTCCTCGCCAACGACTCTACCGAACATGCCAATGTCCTTACAGTATTCTCCTGGAACATTGAGAACCTCGTACCGTATATCCAGCCGCCATCCACCAAGCCGATAACATCATACTTTGCACCAACTCGACCAAAGGTTCCACGACATACTCCCTCCCTGCGCAGTATCCTCCACCACTTTAACTACCCAGACATTTTCTGCCTCCAAGAAATCCGGCTCCGTCCCAAAGATACTGCTCTCATTCTCCAGGCCGAACAAGCTGCAAAGGATCCGACCTCGCAGATTGGATACAAATGCTATACCTGTCTTGCCAATGATCCTCTAAATGTCCGCTTTCGTGGCGGACGAATGTATGGTGTCGCAACCTACGTTCGGGACTCGGTACCCCTCACACAGTAGACTGGGATAAAGAGGGTCGAGTAATGATTGTTGAAATCGACAAGATGGCTATCATCAATGTATACGCTGTGAATGGAAGGACAAGCCTTACATGGACGCGGATATAAAGGAAGACAAGGAGGAGAGGTTTGGGAGTGATCATGCTCCATTGTATGTTACTTTGAAAAGTCCTTTTGTCAATATGTAGAATTTCGACTTATATGCCTACTATGAATCCTTATCCAGCTATTTCTTAGAAGTCTTTTGGCCAATATGTAGATCCCCAAGTTATGTACACATCAGAAATCCACATCCATCTACTCGACAACGGCAAAGACTCCTCCATCCATGATCCCGCTCACATCAATCCCACACGTCACTTTCCCAGTCATTACCAATTCACTCATTACCATCCCAGTTCCAGGTCCATTCAGAAACTAATGTTCAGGATGGTAGATGCGTCTGGCAAAACTATTCAACTCCTCTTCCGGAATGATGGACATCAATTGTCCAAGGGCGGTATAGATGGGCGATGCTACGGTCTGATACTTCTGCGTGTGTTTTGCTACAGCCGTGGAGACATTATGGTCGAGTCTGGAGTCGCGCTTTTGCTTTTTCATGACTTGCTTTGGAGTCGTAAACGATCTTTCAACTTCCGAAACCCAAGGTCGACATGTGAAAAAGCAGGCTTCCCGGCCGAATTTATTGTCACGAACACAAGTGTCGTAGAAATGATCACGGGACGGTTCATTCAACCAATGTATAACTGTGCGGAAAGGCGTCTTCCCCGTTTCCCTGGATTGACCAACTAGAGATTGAATGTGATCTTTCTGAATGTACCCATCTCGAATCGCTAGCGTAGCCCACAATCTAGTGATGATTGAGTTGGAGCACGTGTCTATTATCTTGAAATATCAACACGATAAATACCTCATAGTTATCACTTCAGCAATAGGCTGTTGGTTAAAATTAAAGTGCCGATTCTTTTTTTCCAGAGCTTTGCGAATTGCAAGCGTTGGATAATCTAAATCTATGACCGACGTCACTTCACAGTCGCATTCTGGCTGTACAATAGTGTATCTGGCACTATTTTGGTTCACGTCGTCTGCCAAATTTTTCAGCAAAGTATCGGTCATAATCAACTTGGTATCCAAACGCGCGGGGATGTCAAACGAGTAAGCCTCAAAGTTCTTTCTCGCGCATCCTTTTTGTCGATACATGGTTGAGGGGTTGTATTTTTCGTAAGAATCGGATATATGGCGTTCAGTTTGGATGCAGGTGGCCACTGTTCGTAAAGCTCAGCTCTTTGTGTCGACCCGTATTTGTGAATGAAGTAATAATAGAAAAGAATGGTGTGTGTGTGTGGGGGGGGGGGGGGAAAGTAGTAGCAATCGTTTTATATGCTTTATATGCTTTTGTAACTCCTCATTCTGACGACAAGGTGATGGGTCTTTTAGGAAAATTTTCCACACCACAGACACTGGTAATTCACATGGGACAAAGTTCAAATATTCCCATTTATTCGTTTCCACGAGGAGCAAAGACGGCCATATTGCTTGATACCAACATTACTTTTCATGCTTTATTCAATGGTGTCTTGTCGTTTGTTTCGTGAAGCCCATTTCGTCGATAACCATCTCTTGGCATCACGTTCATAGGCTCCATATGTCTCTGCAAACTCTGCATTCAGCCGTTCTTGCTTGAGATGCAACGATGTGATGCAATGAAGTATTGTACCCGACAATCAAGTTGCATGAATGACATTGTGTCAGGAAAATGATGCATATGCAAACCACAACGGTGACAGACACTCTGCATTAACGACACGCATTGCACGTTTTCAACTCGACACTAATTGTGATTCAAAGACCGCATGCATGGCGTTGGAATTTGGGAATTGCAGAATTTGCTTTTCATTTCTTTTCTTGCCTGTATCCCCACTTTGGAAAATGAAGAAAGACCCTTGTTCTTCTTTCTTTCTTTCTCCTCCACATTTCTTTGCACGTCAGAATCGCCACGCGGGCGTCTTGCTCCACCCCTATTCAGGCATACCATCTTTCGGATCTTCTCCTTCCCCTTTGTAGATGACTCGAGATACATTTCAAATCCTTCTCGTTGCATCGTCTCAATAAGAAACGCCCATTTTGTAATTCTCCGCATTTCCTTGACTTGGTATGCTTCACCATGTTGCAGAGCGACATTGGTTTCAATCTCTTTTACAAGACCATCTCGCAGCACTTGGAAAGTCAACCCTGAATGTATTACAGGTTAAGAACTGCGTATAGATTCCCTAATATAAGCCCTTCTTTGCCACCTAACGGCGAGTCATTCACATAAAACATTATGGAAATAGTAGGAAGGATCGACTTTGGTGAACTGAAAATTCAGACCCGCCGATGGTGCTCCAAAGGCCACCACAAAAGTTCATATTCCACCTTAGGCAGCATGCTCTCTGAAAGCAAGCGTGGGAGAAACCATTATTATTGCCCAATTCATTCGGCAGGTCAGACACGCGTGTACTACGTCTCCTTACATAAACATACGATCAGGGATTCGACTCCACGTGACTACACGTATCGAATATCCAAAGCATATTGGGGTACTCCCCACTATGGTGGACTGGCGTGATCCCACATGACCAAACGCGTCGATAAATGATTCAACATACATAGTGTAGAGGCGATTGAAAATGGCACTAGGACCCATTATTATCCGGATTAATCCGGTTAATCATATCGCATAATCAGAACCCCCCTCTATCGCTCAGATTGGTGTGGCATGTATTGTAATGTTTTTTTTTTAAACTGCGGTGAGGCGCATGCCAAAGGTCTATAAAAGGGGGGCCTTTTCCCTCTTACCTCTTTACCCATCCTCGACTCGAAGCATCTGTGCAACGCTCATTGCGACCCACATTGCAACCTCATAGCAACCCACACAACCTCATCGCGACTCAGTCAACCATGAGAACGCTGATGTGGTGGTGTCGAGGACCTCGACCGCCCGACAGCAACCGTGATCAGAACCAGTGGCAACCAATCGGATCCAATAACAAAACCTACTATTATGCTGCCACATTTGTTGAGCTTGGTTGGTATGTACTGATTGCATCATTTTATTTCTTGTCATCAGGTCATCTTCTGACCTGCAGTTTTTTTCTCTAGTCTCCAAGCCTTGCCACTGAACATCCTCCAGCTTGCGAGTCTCCCCAATGTTGCGAAGACTCTGGCTTCAATGCCATCAAGAGTTCCAGATCAAGGCCTAGTAGGGACCGCATGTGGTGGTGGGCAGTTATCCGGTTAGAACCAACCGTTACGTATTGCGTGTATAATTGCCTAGTAGTAGCTTAGTTAGCTTTTCCGAACCGGTTGTCGCCGGTTTATTCCCTGGTGTAGTAGCTAGTGCCATTTTCTGTCACCTCTACACTATCATAAACTAGTTTAACATGCTTTAAAAATGTAGAAAAACAGGCGTGGTATTTTCTATGCATCGGATCATAATTTCTGCATATGTAGTCTGTAACATACCCAGCAATATTTGTGAAAATAGTCTAAAGGAAATCGGTCTAAGTGTCGGCCGTGTCCAATTAAGATTTGGGGGGTTATACTTGATTTATGGACGCGTCTGATCATGTGGGAGCAAGCGGGCATGAGGAGCTGTGGAGCAAATGGTGGAGCTGTGGAGCGCCGTTTCGTTAAACCCCTCAAAATACTGTATCCGCAAGTTCATTCCCGTTCATCATTTATCGACGCGTTTGGTCATGTACCCGAACATTGCAGTGCGGGTGTCAACCAGATTTGATGATATGGCCTACTGGAATAGTTGAATGATTGCAACCATAATACACCTGTGTAGTTCAGTCCCGCTGCAATGCTTGAACGATTAATAAGTCGATACGAGTTGTAGTGGTACAGTCGTATCGATGTATTCACTGGGCAAGCTGAGCACTGGTTCAATTTCAATTATACTTCCATAGGACATAAACTGCATCTTCTGTATTTTTCAGGTCTTCTACCAAGTGCGTTGCACGCATGCGTTCACACTAGTTAACATATATGGCTAGTATTTAGTCTGCCCACCCACCGTGCACGTTTGCATGCATTCGACCTGCTTGACTAATTGCCTGCCCATACGAGAATGTGTTGTATGCTGTTCAAAATGGAGATGAATGATTGAAATCTGATTCTTTCTCGATCGATTTGCACGCCAGAATTGCTACGAGCCTCCACACAGAGTTTCCTTTGGCTTCGCCCTATTCAGGCATAGTTCATCATCTTTCGGTTCTCTGCATCTTTGATGCTTTAGAATTCCCACAACTCGCATGGTGAACGCGGTATGCCATTCATAGTTTTTTTTTTACACTTGCACTTTACTTGATGAGGATAATGCTGATGCATATCAAGCATTCACAGTAAGAATTGCGGTGTCGTTCCTGCTGTTCCGAGTAACTAATTCGCAAATACGAGATCATCGCGCTGCGATCTGATAGTAGCTGAGCGTCATGTATCGCAAACGACATCACTCTAGGGATAAGGGGAAATCCCTTCTGTCTTTGTTTTGCGGATTGTATATCTATTTTGCTCGCACTTTTGCAACGGGTGCGTTGGCGGGAATGCATTTATGTAGAGGATTGGCCATCAGCATTCTCGAGCCGGAGATACCTTTTTTACTCTCGTCCATAGTACTTCCGTTTGGATGTTTGTATATGGACATTCATGTATCTCCACCTATGTAGATGCTACGTCCTGCGAGTGTGCCTCCCTCTGTTCCCGCATCTACGTGCGTCAAACGCACATCCCATCTGTAACCAATGACCGCTGTTCTGAAGCCCATTTGTGAGTTCTGCTTCATTACTGCATGTTCCTTGTGCAAAGCGTAGTTTCCTAGTAAAGAACATCTCGTGCGAGGTGCCCGTTGAGAGACAACAGCAGACAATGACAAAACATTTGTATACTACACCGATCTGCATAAACACATGCATTGGTGGTTTAGTGGTATAATTACCGCCTGCCACGCGGTAGACCCGAGTTCGATTCTCGGCCAATGCATAATGTATGATCGTCCGATACTTTTTTCGTGACCAAATTGCTTGCTCTGCAAAACGTCAGCCATAACAAGCAAGGTCTTAGTGGCGCATGCAGCGTAATAGACCCGAGTTGGATTCGCGGCCAATGCGTTAACTGATCTTTGCGACCTATCTTTTGCAATATCTCTTCTCGGCTGGAGTAAGAACTTGAATGAGTCTAATTATTACGAAGCATTGGTGGTTTATGGCGGAAGCTTTGTTGATCAGCTGTGCGTGTAGATTGTCTGGTTGAATACGTCGACAAGTTGTACACTGAGGAAGACGAGTGAGTAGTTTACTGGATGTCTTATCGGTTACCAATACTGCTCATGATGAGCACTTAGTCTGAACACATGGCGTCTACCAAACAATACCACTCAATAGCAGCGATTGCTGGTTTAGTGGCATAATGGCAGCTTGCTACGCTGTAGAGCCGCGTGCATTTATAGTAGCACGTCCCATGGGTTCGTTAACTTCAACGTTCTCGTACGCAAACAGGAACGAGTACCCTCGCCGTACTAGCATCTTCACCATCATATTTGCCGAGAGACATGAGTTCTGCCGGATAATAGCAATTCCTGTGCATGTGGTGCATTCTGACGTTCCAGGGCATTGCAGACCAATACAACATTTGCAATACAGAGGATTCGCGGTCAAAGGGGCAAGGCGACCAAGCCGTGCAACCTGACTTTATCCGCCGCATGCAGCTCCTATACTGCGGGTAATCCATTCATATGTATAACGACGACTTTGATGAAAAAAAAGCCCCGAATATCAGGAATATCAGGGATAACTCATTTACTCAGTAAGATTATATTTAACAAATGCAAATGTCCATCTGCAAAAATATATACATATTCAAAGGTCCCACAATCGCCAATGAAAGGTCGAATAACACAAGGTGAAAAGCACAAAAGAATTGGCCAGAATTCTTCACGCAAAGACGAACGACAACGCAATACCTAAACTGACCATCCCGAACCACAAGAGGGGAGAGCGCACTCACTACTCTCAACGCCGAGACCTACCAAGGAACGATGAGAACCACTTGATGAAGGAAAGATGATGACATACCGTTTCCTAGAGGGTGAGGCCTCCTCCTCAGACATTGGCTCCGGCTTTGGAGGGGAAAAGGTCTCAGCTATTCTCAAAGGTCCGCGGGGTGGGCTGCCGATCCAATCACACCTGATCTCCCGCGCAACATCCTCCAGCGCCAGCTACAAGGCGTGATGACGTCAAAACCCAGACAATACAATACAATTGGGTGTTTCCTTACCCCCCAAAGAAGAACTATACGGCAGATTCCAAGGAGCCGAGGAAAACTGGAAAAGCAATTTGGGAGAAGCCACGTCCCAACATTGCCGGTGACAATGACCCCACTTGCCAGGCGATATGAACAGCGAAGGGTCCAATGTCTCCCCAAGGTTACGGAGACCCACGTTTCTACGGTCCGTCGTAACCGACGGAGAATCTGGTCCATCGCGTCTTTGGACGCCTTCGTCGCCCTTAAGATGGCTTGCTCAGCCTCATCAGGATCATCCACCCAAGTGGTTTTCTTGGCCACCATGCACACGAGGGTGTCCCCATCAGGGGTTTGCCATCTCTTCATGATCGAAGATAATGGTGGCATGGATGGGGGTGACGAACATGGCTCGGCGAAACGAATATTTTTGGGAGCCAGGGCATCGAAAAGCTTATCCCATTGGCGCATATGGTCAGCGCCATCCTTCCAAACACGTTGGCTTCTCCATTCCATACAGCTAGTGAAATAGTCAGGCCTATATCTAGGCGGGCGAGAGTGCGCCAGAGGCAACTTACAAGTTGAAAATGACCCCGTACAGTTCGAGGAATGGCTCTTCATCTTCAGCCGCCTCACCAGCGACGGCCCCTAGCAATTGTGCGAAAGTGCTACCTTGGCTTACCATCTGCAAGGGCGATCCACATTAGAGAGACGCTCGCGCCATGCCACATGAATGTATTTACCGTCTCTAAACGTGACATGAAATCTGCGCACATGCGCAGACCGCGAGTTGTGAACCTTTCGTACTTGTCTGCAGGATCGCGGCGGAAGTACTTTTTACTTGGGCGGTTGTTCCAAAGAGTCCTGACATAATCCAAGTCTTCACTTGGAAGCGCGGCTGGGTCCCGCGCGCACAACTCTTCCATCTCTTCCAGATCAAAGATGAATGAATGAACGGGGCTGATGGACATAACCAACCCCAATGAGTAAGGAGCGAATTACGATTAGAACATGAGCGGCGTATTACCTCTCAGCCTCCGTGCGAAGCGCAACTGCCGCCATGGCTTCTTCCAATACAGCTCCCAACGGGAGCGGTGTTTTTCCGAGCTTACGTAGCTGTGCCTTAACGTGCTGCTCACGCATGCACGCGGCGTCCTTGCACTCTTCGCTGGTGGGAATTCTCATCTTGCGGAAGTTGGACGCGTTTTCCCAACGGGGACTTTCGGACTTTTATACAAGCACCATGGCGTGATCTCACATGACCAAATGACATTCGGACATGACACACCAGCTGTTTTCTTCTACTTTTCTACATATTATCGACTGATTTTACATGCTTTGAAACTACAGCAAAACTTTGGAGTACTTTCTATGCATCGGATATTATCTTCTGTGTATGTACTCTGTAACATACCCAGCGATATTTGCTATTCTAGTCTGAAAGGAATGGATCAAGGTGTTGGCGTTGTCTAATTGAGGTATGTGATTTATGGACGCTTCTGAGCAAGTGGGTGAGCAGACTAAATACTGGCCATGTATCTATAATTAGTGTGAACGCATGCATGCAACACATACGACAAACGATCTGGCAAATACAATAGATCCTAAGGAAGTGTGATTGAACGAACCCAGTGGTCAGGTTGTCTGGTGAATAGATGGATAGGAGTTGCACGCCTATTACGCTATACAACTCGTAATGAAGAGATGAGCGTCCAAAGCATAGCAGGAACATTGCAGTGCGTGCGTTAACCAGAGTTGATGTATGGCCTACTGTACAGTACTGGAATAGTTAAGCAATTGCAACCATAATACACCAGTTCAAACCCGGTGCTATGCTTGAACCATGGTTTCTTCACTTCGAGTTGCAAACTCCATTGTGATCCGCTCCTGGAGAATACCATTCAGCATACCCACGCCACGTACTCCGGCGTACTCAAGGCGATACCTACACCACGCCCTCCGGCTAACCCTACGCTCCTGCCAGCCCAACAAAAACCATAGCCAGCAAGGGGGAATCAGCTCACAATTGTAGGTCTCGCAAGTATACCTACCTGGGTCGCAGGCTCAAGCCGGCTCAGTGCGTACATATCTAACGCATGTGGCCCGGAAAGCGTTGGGGTTAGGGACCACGTTCTTGTGATCCAGTGGCCCTTGAAACGGCCGAGGCGAGATGCCGAGGTGTCGCACATGAAGCCTCTCGTATTAGCCTATTTATACCCGAATGATGAATGAGGTCTCTGAGCACCGTAGAGGATCGTGCTGAGAGTCGAGCTCACTGTTCGTATCAGTAGCACAGGGTAAGCGGAGGTATTTTGCATGGTATTCCAGTTGCTGCTAACAATTTGGGGTGCCACGCCTGACGTGCAGGCGGGTTGACCCCTGAGGTATGACTCGCGAGTACCAGGTGGGCCCCTCGAGCCACTGGAGAGCACCCCAGCTGTATTGGAGAGTCCCCAAACCCTAGGCGACTGGGGATTTTTCAAATAGAGGAACTCTGGTGAATCCCGAAAACCGAGGGCGTGTCAACCATTCCACTGCTACAACCGCACCATCTCGGGTCGTAGAACATTTGAGAGCGAACCAGATCGTCTATATACGTCAGCAACTGGTGGAGGAGCGAGATCCCGGTACAAGGCGGGCATTGCAGGAACGACTGGACAAACTCCTGTTGGGATAGGTAATAGGGGCATGCATGCTTTGCAGACGGCGAACGGTTGGTGAATGTGGGGTCGTCGCGATCAGCGATGGTAAGACCGAGAGGGTGAATGTGGACTTTCACAGTTAGTTAAAGGCCAATTGACGTGTAAAAAAGGCTTTAAATCTTCTCGAAATTGAAACATGTATTATTGATGATATCGCTAGTAATTGTTCAACGTCTGACGGATCCTAGATTTATTATTAAATTACTACCAGTTGGGGAATCCCATAACACCTGCAACCATCAACCTTGGTACTGGCGTTACAAGTCGCAAGATGGTGGTGTTGAACACCGTGTTGCCAATGTCAGCGGGCAAGTCCATCAAGAGCCATTGATGGATTATACACAGGTATTGAGTTCATCTAAAATGTTTATACACATGTCTATTTAGCATATTTGAGTTAGTCTCCAAGGACTGCACGCAATGGTAGTTGTCATCATGGATGATAGCGCGATATTGTAACCAGCACGTTTCCATCATCTTAGTTCGCATAGCAAATATGTGTCTGTAATTGATGTGAGAACCGCTAATTCAATTCGGTCTAATTCTTCCAATATATGTGTTCAATAGATGTTTTTTCTCTAACAATGTCGCTCTAACAAAAAAACCAATTGCGAAACCCACGGATGAAGTGAAGGCGGTTCGGCATATCTGAAAGCTTTAACTTCACAAACTCTTCGTGAATCAAATTCCTGACGATATTAATCATCCTTTAGATATACCCTTGGTTTACTGCCTTGTTTCCGGAACGGGTCCAGAGAGGTAAAACACATTGAACGCCAGATTAAGCGGCTGAGATACCCAAAGACTCCTCTGGCTGGATGAGACCTAGGTGGTACTGTTTTTCAATGTGACCTATTGTCCAATCCAATGTATCCCCAGGCTTCTTGTATCCATGTAGCACTTGTTTGCTCGGAAACGGAAGACAATAGTATATTTGATGGGTTCAGATACTCATCTCCCGGATTTGATTCACTGCCAGTTTAGAAGGTTGGAATCTTTCTCTGTTTAGTAGTGTGAAGCGGTGTGTGGGTCGGTCTGGGAGGTCGGCTCTAAGATATATTTTGACTCGAGTGATGATGCGGTCCAAAGGTAGAGGCCATTGTCTTCGGCCTGCGTACGTTATCGCGAATGAACTGTCGATCCCGAGAGAGCACATCCCATTCAGTTCCGTTCGTCAAACGTAGTATCTCTGGAAACATTCGACATCTGTGAGAAGCTCAGTGTCAAAAGTCTGGCTTTAGCTTGCTCTCCCCCACCATTTCCTGACGGTTTCATCGTCCTTGACACAATTATCTTCCAAATTTTGATCAGCCTACGCTACATATATCCGGTTTCTGCGGCGACTACTGTACCTCCAAACCACTGGAGAGACATAAATTGAAGTTGAAGGAACTGCCAGATCATTCAATATTGGATTCTCATCGACTAATGCAGGTTCAAATATTATGACCGCATCGAGAAAGACATCATGCTGCTGCTGAAGGTAATTTCTGTAATCTTTGTAGATTTCATACTTTTCAATGTAGCATAAAAAAAGTAATGTATCTTTTCAGTGAGCGTCCGCTTCTTTAAGTTACTCCGGGCGCATCTCAATCAAGCGTGCCCTGTACTCATCACCTGGGCATTCAATCGGTTGAGGTTGGGCCCGCTGTTAGACACTGGCGTTAAAGCCTTAGCCACTTCCGTACTCACTCCGTCGGTCGCACTCCACCCTGGTCTCCTTACGCACATACAGGTTTACCTACCAGCCCTCTTTTATCCTTCCGTTTCCTTCAGCAAGAAACATTTTAACGAATACACCTTTTCTTCAACTCAGCGTGCAAGTTCGGAAACGTGCCTGCGGTCAGATGCATGGTATGGATAGCTATTTCCCCAGATATCCACCGAACTTTTGCTTCTCCTTTACAGAGCACAAGTGCGTTCTTTGCTATTGACCGCTGGATTGGCCGATGCGTACCATATCTGCAAAAGGCAAACTCCCAGTTATTTTTGCTATTGCATAGCTGGACGGTGCCACGGGCCAACTGCTGCCAGTGATTGCCGGCTCACCCCGTCCGCACACGCTCATTATGTTACTTGCAACTGTTACGGATCATTCGGGTCTAATTGACATTTGCCGACTCGGCCAAGAAACTGAAAGCCAATGCATGCTGAGCTACAAAAGCCAAGGCAGTTCCCACATTGCTTCACTGAGATAAGTGCACAATTGCATCCACATATCGTCCCTTTTCTGACACGACTCTATTTAATCACAGGGTTGTCTTGACGCGATTAGTTGCAGCAGGAGCCGTTGCAGGAGGGGATATATTCGCCTTTACGGAATCAAATTCCACCGTGCATTTCCGCATTCTTTAACAACGTTGTCGAGAATACAGTCCCGCTCGATACTTTTCACTACAAGCCCATACGTCAGCGTACGACACATACCGGTCCTGCGCAACATTGGTAGCGTTACTGACGGCAAGCGGCTCGCAGGTTATGCAGAACACTTCGGCAGCCGCGAGACTAGTTACACCCGGCTCACCAAACTTGGTAGGTGACTGGAGATCTACCCCGCCTACGTCGAGTTTCCAGATCGCACGCGCTTCGATTGGACGGAACGCGCGAGTCGAGTAACTGAAGCGGGAGGGCGAGGAGTACCGCATATTAGCGAGAGCGAGAAGTTCATTGGAATATTAGATCAGCTAGAATACCCATTTTATTCCATCGGTCCCGGTGTATTCACCGGGCAATTAGGTATATTTGAATTACATGTGTAAATTGGTGGCATATGGAGTATCTCATGTTTCATGGATATCTGCAAATATGTTAGCCAGTCGCCTATTTTGACATTTTCGTGTACTTTGACATTTCGCTCGAGATAAAGCGACCAATGCATTCGCATTAAACCAGTCATACAGCCAGTACACTAGCATTTGGGAGGATCCTAGTCGACCAGTCTCCCTGACCGATTACGATTCGAATGGCCAGTCATGGAATCTTTCCGCTTAGAATGAAGAGGTTAATAGGCAGGGTGCGGTGATTAGATGAAGCAATTCACTATTATAGTATTAACACATGATGAAATCCTTTCTTTACTCGCTTTCATTAGTAGGACATTCCTTGGCACTCGCTGTGGCCCGGACGCAGCGCGGACGACGGCTAGAAACAATACTGATACTCACTTCTGTCCAGTCTTGCCAAGTCGCCCACCGCGCGATTGGCGGCTAGTTGAATAGGGGACTCTTTGGTATCTATCGGGTGCCTTCCCTTGGGGAGAACTTAGCTGGCGCTTTTGCAACACCAGACCCTAGTTAAAGGTCGTCCGTCGATGAATGGGTTGATGGGCTTCGCGCTGAGTGTAGTGTGTTTGGGTTGTCCCAGTAGTGTCCCTCGGTATCTATCGATGCCCTCACTCTGTGGGGACTTGCTGGGGATGGGCAGCAGATTAGGACAGGCGGTTCCATTTGGAATGCGGCTTCGTGTTTCAAGTGTTTGCCTGTTTTAAGCACTATTTGTCAAGTTGAATTCGACCACGACGTTCCCGGCATGTAGAAAAGGAGGAGAATCCGACTAGTTTAGTGAACATATTTCTCTCTTGTTGTGATCGTCGTCTTCGCAATGTTTGGTGTTTGGTTTCCACACCTCTGATAATCCTTGCTATCTCAGCGGGATCTAACGGGGATGTCTGCGCATCGGTTAGCCATTCTTGCCCAAGATTGACACTTAGGATGTCTATAGGGCGGTTCCCTTCTGACGCTGGATCTCATCCATTGGAGCCCTTCGTCGCCTTCAGCGTCGCCCATATCGCCCCGCTCCCAGTAACTAATTCGCAAATATGTAGTGAAACAATCTCGTTGCGATCTCAGAATAGATGAGCGTCATCTACCTGTAACGACATCACCCTCGGGATAAGGGGAAAACCCTTCTCATCTTGTTTTGCGCATTGTATATCTATTTTGTTCCCACTTTTGCAACAGGTGCCTCCGACTTGCCGCTAGGGCCACTGGCGGGAATGGATTTGTGTAGAGGTTAGGGTGATCAGTATTCTCGAGCGTAAATACAAGTCCTGCAAGTGTGTTACTTCAGATGCCGCGCACGGTGAATGCGGCCATTTTCAGTTAAATTGACATATGATAGAGATTCATTAATGAATACACGAGCATTGGTGGTTTAGTGGTATAATTACCGCCTGCCACGCGGTTAACCCGAGTTCGATTCTCGGACAATGCATTGCACCAGGCATCGTCGTACTTTTTTGCGTTGTGGACCCAACGCGTCAAACAATTAGGGGGAATTCTCAGATTGCTGCTGTGCATAATGAATGGAAACAAGGCTGTAACTTCAGCAGTGGCGATAAGACCAAGCCGTTACTTTTCCTGAATCTACGTGCATGAAACGGTCCTAGTGTGGATGGAGGCCAAGAAAGGGTCGTGGACAGAGGACCCTGGAGACCCTGGAGAAGCTGAAGGGGCGACGCTGAAGGCGACGAAGGTCCAAAGATGCGATGGATGATCTTTTAACAGAGGATTCGTGGCTTGGTGACATACAACTAGTATCGAATATATGATGGGACAGATAACGGGTAGACAGCAGAAACACAGCAGCGCATGCGTTAAACCAGGTTTGATGTCATGGCCATACCGCCGTAGCAATTGCTATGAAATAGTGCATTGAATGAATGCATCCACAACGAACCCACAATGGAAGAAATTATAAATCTTAACCGCTGTGTGGTGTCCCATCACATACTCGATAGGAGTTGTACAGTACATGCCTAACCCTATGCATGATGTCAATCATGAAGTACCGAACCACTATAAACAGAGCATTGGTGGTTTAGTGGCCGCCTTCCTGAAGGTGGTAGCCGAGCTCGATTATCGGCTATTGCATCCGCAGAGCCTCGTCCATCCTTTTGCCTTTATCTACATGCATGATTCACGGTAATAGTCAATTATGAGTATAAGACAGTTACTTGGTGGTTTAGCAGAAACCGCGTTCGATTCTCGGGCAATGCATACATGAGTTGTCCCAATGTTTTTTCTGCTGGAAAAAGATCAACGATGCCCAGGAATGTCAACCATGAACAACCGGAATAGGTGGATTCAGTGGCTGGATTCTCGGCCAATACATTCCTCCTCTCGGATAAGGTAATATTATTGCTGAATATTTATCATATCCGTATGGTCCGCACTAGCAAGTCTATACAAGTCTGTACGGAACCGCACAAGATAATCGAATCAGGTGCATAATACCACCGCACTACAAGTATTCGATGTACCCCCCATTACACTTTCGTGACATAACTATCGTCTTGATTCTCCGCCATATGCATTCAGACAAAGCCCGACGTGTTTCTTGCTCAGTATTGTGGCTTCATTCAGCGCGACATGGACTTTTCTTGCAATGTGTCAGTTGACCAAGAGGTCTGCTAGAGAAAAGCGGCTCATCGTGTATTTTGGTGCAATCTGACATCCCGAGGCATTGCAAAGCAAGAGCGAAAACGAAGAGCTTGATACACAGTTCAGTACAATCATGTCGTGCGACGCCATACTGCATTCATTCACAAACATTTACGAAAAAAAAAAAGGTAGCTTGACTTGAATTTAACAATTGTAAAGTGGACAGAAGGATAATTTATGAGCCTCTTTATTCGAAGAATACACTGAGCCCCACCCAACCACAGGAAAAAGTCTCGGGTTCTAGAGTCTTGAGGTGTCGTCCTTGAAGTCCCGAGTCCGCTCCGAACATCGATGCATTAAAAAGTAGAGAAAAGAAAATAGAAGTCAGTTTCGGTTGAAAGACATCAAAGAGATACCATAGATAACACTTGGTGGTTTCCGTGTTATCTTAGACAACTCGAAAACCGTAAAAATCAGACGAGGTTTCGAAAACTTACCCTGCCAATAATCGTAATCTTGATGGAAGGTGATGGAAGCAGTTGCTGTGAAAAGCAAAAAAAGATGGTCAGAACTGTGCCGGACGTACGAGAGCCACGACGATAGAAAAGTTGACCGGACAATATAAAGCTTACCCTGGTACCATTTTCAAACCTCCTCCGAGCCACAGCGCACAGGCGCTACCTTCAACGACGAGACCTACCAAGGAACAGGAACGATGAGAACCAGTTGTACGGCTATGCAAAACAAGAAGACATACTTTTTCCTGGTGGGTGAGGCCTCTTCCCGTGTATCTTCCGTATCTTCCGTAGTATCTTCAGGCTTCTGAGTCCGTGCCTTCGGTTTAGGCTTCTCCGGCGTTGGGAAGGTGTCTGCCATGTTCACCTCTTCGTCTCGGGGGTATCGGCTCAAGCTGGCCTTCTGCATGATCTCGCGCCTACTATCGTCCAGCGCGAGCTACAGAGCATAAGAATGTCAATACCCAGAACATACAATAGAATCGGGGAAACTGTTTCCTTACCCCCCAAATGAGCACTATACGGCACATTTCCAGAAGACGAGCGAAGCTCGAGAATCCCATCGACAGACACCATTCCCCAACATTGCCGGTGACGACGACGCCACTGGGCAGGCGATACGAACAGCGAAGGGTCCACTCTTCCCCCAAATTAACACACGCCCATGTTTCTAGGGCTGTTCCTTTCTTACGCTGGATCGCATCCATCGCGTCTTTGGAGCCCTTCGTCGCCTTCAGCGTCGCCCCTTCAGCTTCTCCAGGGTCCTCTGTCCACGACCCTTTCTTGGCCTCCATCCATACTAGGGCCGTCCCATCCAACGTCACCCATAGCATGTCGGCCTTGCGACCTCGCACCCATTTCCTATCTTCCCCTGCATGCATAAGCTTACGCGTCTTGCTTGCATGCACGCTCTCTTCGGGTGTACTGGTGAAGAGGCCTCGGGGTGCAAGGTCGTAGAACAGTCTGTTCCATAGGCGCATATAATCCGCTTCGCGCGTCATGGGACAAACTTCCTTGGTCCAGTGGAGACAGCTAAGATCAAATAATAGTCAAGCCTATATCTAGGAATCGTAAGAGCCCAAGGGCAACGACTTACAACTGAAGGATGACCGAGTAAAGTTCACGGTAGGGTGATACATTCTCTCCGCCCACCCGAAACATGAAATCCAACACCTCTTCTAAGGTGTTACCTTGGCTACTCATCTGCGAGGACGATCCACATTAGAGAGGGCTCGAGGCTTGACACACAAACGTCTATACCTTCTCTAACCGTGACAAAAAGTCGGCACACTTGCGAAGACCCGGTGTCGTGAACACCTCGTATCTCTGTTCAGGGTCACAGTAGAAAAACTTGGTGTATTTTGAGCTGGGGCGCTCGTTCCATAGGCCCCTCACGAACACCAGGTCTTCTTTTGCAAATGCGGCTGGGTCCCTCCGGCGCAGAGCGCTCATCTCTTCAAGATCGAAGATAAAGGAATGGGCGGGACTGTGACGCCATGAGTACAAGAGCGGAATTCATGTGTTACAATAGAGGCACGATACACTACCTCTCATTCTCGACACGAATGGCATTGGAAGCCATCACCGCTTCCAATAGAACTCCGGACGGCAGGAGGGTTCTTCCCAATTTGAGCAGCTGTGCCATCACATGCTGCTCATGGTTGAACAAAGCGACACGATCGTCACTATCCACGTCCGTCTCCTGCGTGGTCGAGCAGGAAGGAGCGTAGTCGGAACCATAGTCGGAGGACGAGGGGCTGTCCTCACGAATGAGCCTACTACACAAAGACGATTCAATGCACTGATATGTCAATCAATGCAGAAAATGCGCTTCACACCTTTTGCCTGTCACTGTATCGACAATCACCCTATTGGTGTGTGCTACGTCCAATTGGGTGTGCGCTATGTCCACATGCGCACCCAGGGCTCGATCCAGGAGGCTGCTCTTGATCTTATCGAAATCCATCCGACGCTACATTGAACATCACCATATGAGTTTAAAGCGTGAAAATCAAAGCTACAACTATAAACGAGTGCTCGGACTGGATGACCCCATGCGATGAACGGTGATCCCAGCCGGACAGGTGGTACGTATCCACAGACCACAAACCCCTGCCTAGGACGGCCTCACAGACAAGCCGCGGGAACCGTTCCCACCGCCCAAAGGCGGTCTTCAACTACCCAGGGAACTCTTGACTTGAATACTCACAGCCAGATGTGTCTTGATTCGGCCTTCGATACGGGGGCGTATCTTCTTTGGCATTGTGGACAGATCTTCTTGTGCTTGCTTGAGCAGAGCTCGGTATTCATCCCAGGTGCCAGCTGGGTTGGCGTTGATGTATTCTTCTACCGTAGGCACGTTCGACATTCTGTAGAGAAGAGAGAAGAGAGAAGCGTGAGAGTAGAGAGTAGAGAGAGATAGAGAGAGAGAGACAAAAACAAACGCAAAAGAAAACAAAAACGAGTTACGACTGTGTGTGTGTGTGTGTCGAGAGAGAGAGAGAGATCCACAGAGAGGGAGAGAGCGTAAGAGAGCGTAAGTGAGAGAAGAGAGAAGAAGAGAGACAACAAGAACGAGAGCGAGGGGGAATGGGGACCTTCATCCTTTTATACAAAAAGAACGCATGTGTGATTATCAATCTTACCCTATCTTTTGCGCAGCTGAAAGGTGTACATGTAAGTATTTCGAACCACATATCGGATGAATGTATCCAGCTATCATAGCGTAGCTATCATGCATGCAGCGGATAAGTGATTAGATGTGAATTACATGTGTAAATACACGGCATATGGACGTTGTTGAGTATGCATCATTCCTGTCGCTTGTCCAGGTGAATAAACGATATGCGTTAAATGGGTCAATAACATTTTTGTACGCGCGTATGGTCATGTGGAATCACACTACAATCGGCAGTAATCAGAGTGAAATGCATTGGAACCTGTGCATTTTGGGAGACAAGATACGTTACACTGGGCCAATTTGTGGACGCGTAAATTTTGTTGGACCACGTTGGGCCAGGCTGGACGGTGATTGGCTAGAATGTCCTTACCCAATGCTTACGACATGCTACCAGGCAAGCGGTTTGTATCCATCATCCATCTTGATAATCATACACGGCAATATTTGTTATTCTAATCAAGGCCATGTCTAATTGAGATCTGGGGTTATACTTACAATATGGACACATTGTCTTGAGTTGCCATGCAGCGCCGGCTTTTAGAGCCCGCTTAGTCTTCTAAGCCCCACCAGAATGCGTGCGCCCAACGCACTTTGACAGGAGATGCAGCTTATTGTTACTTGTATCTAATGGCAAGTATACTCCTACTTGTATCCAATGGAAGCACTTCCCTATGTTCTGTATTGTGCGAAAAAAAGTCTTACATATAATACTACAGTATTCAGTCTTCACGCATTCCGTGTATATATAGATGCATTATTGCATTACTTGCTTGTTCTCACCCACTCGGTACTGTAAGTATACCTTAAGTGGGACTGACACGCATCACGGTCATGTGTTTTCAAGGTTATTTTGTAAAGTAGACGCGCGTCCAATCCGCATGCCCGATCACGTGGAATCACGCCCAAATGGGTATAAAAGCCCGAAATGATCCGCACCCCCCCTTTCATAACGCGTCGAACTCTTGCAAGATGAGCAGTCCACCCCCACAAGCGATGCGCAGCCGGCGTACGCACATCTGCATCAAGACTTGTCCTGCGGTGAGTATTTCAAACTCAAGTGTCCTCCTCGGTAGTTGAAGACCGCCCTTGGGCGGTGGGAACGGTCCCCGCTAGCTTGTCTGTGCGGCCGTCCTGGGCAGGGGTTTGTGTATTCGTACCACCTGTCCGGCTGGGATCACCGTATGGGGTCATCCAGTCCGCTATGCGAGTATGTGCTTTGAAGACCGCTTAACGGCGGTGGGAACGGTCCCCGCTAGCTTGTCTGTGCGGCCGTCCTGGGCAGGGGTTTGTGTATTCGTACCACCTGTCCGGCTGGGATCACCGTATGGGGTCATCCAGTCCGAGCACTCGATGATAGATGCAGCGTTGATGTTCACACTTTAAACTCTGTGCTAATACCAATTTTGTTTCCATTTTACAACATATCCTCACAGGGACCACTCCAATCGTGGCGTCGTTGTTAGGAAAACTTGTCTTGCGGTGAGTTTCAACTCAAGTGTCCTCCTCGGTAGTTGAAGACCGCCTTTGGGCGGTGGGAACGGTACCCCGCTAGCTTGTCTGTGAGGCCGTCCTTGGCAGGGGCCCGTGTATTCGAACCACCTGTCCGGCTGAGGTTCCCGTATGGGGGGTCATCCAGTCCGCTATTCGAGTATGTGCTTTGAAGACCGCTTAACGGCGGGGGAACGGTTACCCGCTAGCTTGTCTGTGAGGCCGTCCCTGGCAGGGGCCCGTGTATTCGAACCACCTGTCCGGCTGAGGTTCCCGTATGGGGGTCATCCAGTCCGAGCACTCGTTATAGTTGCAGCTTTAATCTTCACGCTTTAAACTCTGTGCTAATACCAATTTTGTTTGCGTTTTACAACATATCCGCACAGGGATCGCACGAACAGTTACTTGTTCATCGGCCTAAGCAAGACTTGTCCTGCGGTGAGTATTTCAAACTCAAGTGTCCTCCTCGGTAGTTGAAGACCGCCTTTGGGCGGTGGGAACGGTCCCCGCGGCTTGTCTGTGAGGCCGTCCTAGGCAGGGGTTTGTGGTCTGTGGATACGTACCACCTGTCCGGCTGGGATCACCGTTCATCGCATGGGGTCATCCAGTCCGCTATTCGAGTATGTGCTTTGAAGACCGCTTAACGGCGGTGGGAACGGTCCCCGCGGCTTGTCTGTGAGGCCGTCCTAGGCAGGGGTTTGTGGTCTGTGGATATGTACCACCTGTCCGGCTGGGATCACCGTTCATCGCATGGGGTCATCCAGTCCGAGCACTCGATTGTAGTTGCAGATTTGATTTCCACGCTTTAACTCTGTACTAATACCAATTTTGTTTCCATTTTACAACATATCGTCACAGGACATCGCGAAGCGTGACTTGTTCCGTCGGCCAAAGCAAGCAAGACTTGTCCTGCGGTGAGTACTCAACTCAAGAGTTGCCCTCGGTAGTTGAAGACCGCCTTTTGGCGGTGGGAACGGTCCCCGCGGCTTGTCTGTGAGGCCGTCCCAGGCAGGGGTCTGTGGTCTGTGGATACGTACCACCTGTCCGGCTGGGATCACCGTTCATCGCATGGTGGTCATCCAGTCCGCTATTCGAGTATGTGCTTTGAAGACCGCTTAACGGCGGTGGGAACGGTTCCCGCGGTTTGTCTGTGAGGCCGTCCTAGGTAGGGGTCTGTGGTCTGTGGATACGTACCACCTGTCCGGCTGGGATCACTGTTCATCGCATGGTGGTCATCCAGTCCAAGCACCTCTATTATAGTACAGTTTGAATTGCAAGTTTTCGACTTCATACTAATATCATGTTTCTGCATTTACAACATATTGTCACAGAACCCCGCGAAACGTGACTTGTTCTGTCGGCCTGAGCAAGACTTGTCCTGCGGTGAGTATCAAGTCGAGTCTCCTCCTCGGTAGTTGAAGACCGCCTTTTGGCGGTGGGAGCGGTTCCCGCGGCTTGTCTGTGCGGCCGTCCTAGGCAGGGGTCTGTGTATACGCATCACCTGTCCGGCTGAGATCGCCGTATGGTGGTCATCCAGTCCGAGCACTCATTAATAGTTCCAGCGTTGATTTTCACGCTTTAAATTCTGTATACTGATACCAGTATTTTCCATTTTTACAACATATCCTCGTAGGGACCACTCGAGAACCGTGACTTGTTCTGTCGGCCTGAGCAAGCCTTGTCCTGCGGTGAGTATTCACGTCAAGTGTCCTCCTCGGTAGTTGAAGACCGCCTTTTGGCGGTGGGAACGGTCCCCGCTAGCTTGTCTGTGAGGCCGTCCTGGGCAGGGGTTTGTGTATTCGTACCACCTGTCCGGCTGGGATCACCGTATGGGGTCATCCAGTCCGCTATGCGAGTATGTGCTTTGAAGACCGCTTAACGGCGGTGGGAACGGTCCCCGCTAGCTTGTCTGTGAGGCCGTCCTGGGCAGGGGTTTGTGTATTCGTACCACCTGTCCGGCTGGGATCACCGTATGGGGTCATCCAGTCCGAGCACTCGATGATAGATGCAGCGTTGATTTTCACGCTTTAAACTCTGTATACTAAGACCATTTTTTCCGTTTTACAACATGTCTAGTGCGCTCTCCCTTTTTTGTTCGGGATATGATGGTGAGTTTTCGTATTGTGTTGTACCTTGTCTTTCCCTGCAGAATTCTGACCATTCCTTTGTGGTTTAAACGGCAACAGCCCTGCGCAAACCGTACCGAGTCATTGCAAAGCAAACGCGCCGCACCATTTCATTTATTCTGAACCGCGCCTAAGAACAGAACATGGTATCCATTACCTTACGCGTTCCCTTACCCGTCCAGCGGGAACGGGACTGAAGGTATGCATCGACGTCCTCGTATCCGCCAAAGTACCCCAGAGAGTTCTTATGCACCATGTACTCTGGGACGAAGTCACCGCTCTCTGGAAATCCTCCATCAATGTCTGGGGGGCTACCCTGGTCAACCGACTGTACCTCCCATGCCTGGAACCTGGACTGCATCGCCTCCTGCTTTCAATTCACGTTCATTTCACGACCCGGTCGCGTACCTCAAAAGACTCCTCATTGGCGGGGTGGGTGGTGGGGTGGGTGGGGGTGGGCCAAGCCTAGTGCGTTAACAGATGAACATTTGCACTTCTTAAATAACAATCTCGCCTAGTTTTATCGTCATTATTCATATGGATGCATTCACGGGGTTATTTGCTAGAGGTGCGGAAAATATCTGGGTGCACCGTATGTCAACCCACCTTCACGTTTACCTTTCGAAGAAGACCAAAAAAATAGCCTCCTGGGTGTCCATTTTGAAAGTGACATATGGTGTTCCACGTCTTCAATGCTCGCAGCTCGCTCTTCATCTCGTTCCTCCACTTCAAGCGCTGTGCAAGAAGCCCACCACTACAACTCCTATCGAATATATGATGGGACAGATAACGGGTAGACAGCAGAAACACAGCAGCATGCGTTAAACCAGGTTTGATGGCATGGCCATATCGCCTTAGCAATTGCTATGAAATAGCGATTTGAATGAATGCAACCACAACGAACCCACAATGGAAGAAATTACAAATCTTAACCGCTGTGTGGTGTCCCATCACATACTCGACTCGAGTTGTACAAAGTGTTGCAGTATTTTCTAATACTTTCTGTATATGCACTTTGTAACAAACTCGGCAATATTTGCTATTCGAGCATGAGAGGAATGGATCAAAGTTGTCGGTCGTGCCCAATCGAGATTGCATCTGATCATATGAATCATGCCAGTACTGTAGGTGTATTTTGGAATCAAAGAAACTACAAAAACAGACTAAACTAAGCATGTCGAGATCTAGTCAAGGAACAATAGGTACCATGTATACAGCTAATAGCGTACTAGCCAAAACAAACGAGGCCATACCGTTCATTTTTTAAGCAGAGGTTTGCTGTCCTTTTGCCTATGCAAATATTATGATTTAAGTATCGAGATAAAAGACATTATATCTGCGCAGCAAACCTATGTTCGTTCAGAGTATCGAGAATCACTTTATTGGTCCAGTGCTGAGAATTGACCATATGAGTATCAAAGCTGCAACTATTACGAGTGCTCGGACTGGATGACCCCATGCGATGAACGGTGATCCCAGCCGGACAGGTGGTTCGAATACACGGGCCCCTGCCAAGGACGGCCTCACAGCTAGCGGGGTACAGTTCCCACCGCCATTGGCGGTCGTCAACTACCGAGATGCACACTTGAGCTGAATACTCACAAACTTGGTGCGGGCTTTCTTGTGCCCCTCCTCATCGCGTTGCAAGGTACCCCCTTCTTCTGTTGCTCTTTTGGGTAATTTCTTGTACTTTTCGCTGGTGGGAATGTCGCTCATCTTGCAAATGTTGGACGCGTTTTCAATTTCCAATCCAAACTCGACTTTTATACCTTGCTCCACTACCGTTTAACCAATGACACACTGCAATTAAGATTGCAATCATTTAGTTAACGTGACTTATGAGATGCGGCCAGTGACTGTGCGCATTTAATTGATTGAATGCATTGCAATCTGCATATTGGTAGTTAACGGTATAGGAGTGGTATTCGGACGGCCACCAGCGGTTTTCCTCTACAGTAAACTGGTTGCAGTATTTTCTATGCATTGGATAATAATTTCTGTATATGCAGGAACCCCGCAATATTTGCTATTCTAGTATGAAAGAAATGGACCAAAGCTGTCGGTCGCTTCCAATCGAAATGTGCGGGCTAACTTGATTTATCATTGTTTTACAGAAACCCCAACAGACTAAACTAACCAGTCCGAGATCTAGTCAAGCACAATAAGTGCCATGTATACAGCTAATAGCGTATTAGCCAAAACAAACGAGGCCATACCGTTTTTGAGAGGATGAGCTTCTTCAGATTTGCTCAGTGAGTCCTTTCGCTTCTCAGAGGACACGTTTTCTTGCTCTTCACTGTCCGAGGACGATGCACTGTCCTCCTCAAGTGGCCTATTGAAAACGCAATATAATGAACCAAAATCACAATCAATTTATCAAAGGTGCGAACATTAGGCCAGCTACCGCTTGTGCATAGAGCAAGTTAGCCTCCGCCAACTTGTCCTGCGCCGACGCAACCTTGTCATGAACAGCAAGGCCTTGTTGTAAAAGGCTGAGCTTGATTTTCTCAAACTCATCTCGGGGCTAAAATGTTGAATGCAAAATTGAGCAACTGTAATCGAGTGCTCGGACTGGATGACTCCATACGGCGATCTCACAGTCGAACAGGTGGTGCGAATACACGGGCCCGCCTAGGACGGCCGCACAGACAAGCCGCGGGGATCTTTCCCACCGCCATTGGCGGTCGTCAACTACCGAGGGGAAATCTTGAATACTCACAGACTTGGCGCGGGCTTTCTTGCGCCCCTCCTCATCGCGTTGCAAGGTCCCTGCTTCTTCTGCTGCTCTTTTGAGCGATTCCTTGTGCTCTTTGTGGGTGGGAATGTCGCTCATCTTGCAAATGCTGGACGCGTTTACAAGACTTGTGGACTTCTATATTGACCTCTGATCTTCTCACATGATCCCACATGACCAAAGGATAATTGGACATCGCGCATGTTCATCCACCAGCTGTTTTCCTCTACTTTTCTACATATTATCGACTGATTTTACATGCTTTGAAACATTGTAAACTGGTTGCAGTATTCTGTATGCATTGGATAATAATTCCGTATATGGGCTCTGTAAGAACCGGGCAATATTTGCTATTCTACGCGCATCTCTAACAGCAAACTCAGATGCTGTACTAGACGCGCAATGAGAAGCAAGATTATTGTGTCCTTTTGTCAGATTGTATAGAAGCATCTCAACATGTTGATCATGCTAATATGTGTATTTTAGAGAAAAAAATACACCACAATAATAGAGTGAACTAAACTAGCCGCTTAGGATTGCCGAGATCTAGCAAAGGAACAATAGGAACAAGAGGACATACCATTTTCATGAGGCGCAGGTGTGCTCAGAGGACACGTTTTCTTGCTGTTCAGTGTCCGAGGAAGACGGACTCTCCTCCTCAAGTGGCCTATTCAAAACACAATATAATGAACCAAAATAACAATCAATTTATCAAAGGTGCGAACCTTAGGCCAACTACCGCTTGTGCATAGAGCAAATCAGCCCGCGCTATTTCTTTATGAGCAGCAAGGCCTTTTTGTAATTGGGTTATTTGATGTTCAGTGTCCGAGGACGACGAACTCTCCTCCTCAAGTGGCCTATTCAAACCAACAATATATATGAACCAAAATCACAATCAATTTATTAAAGGTGCGAACCTTGTTCTTGTCAACCATTCGGCATACAACCGATTGGTTGCCGCCAGGTCCTTGAAGCCAGAGGACGTATCTCTGAGCGCAGCAAAGCCTTTTTGAAACAGTTCGAGCTTGATCCTCTCAAACTCACGGCGCTAGAATGTTTAAAAAGCCAAGTTGACATAAGTTTGAAGTTGAAAGCCAAGCTGCTAATATAAACGTGTGCTCGGACTGGAATGACCCCATACGGTGATCCCAGCCGAGGTGGTGCGAACACAGATCCCTGCCCAGGATGGCCGCACAGACAAGCTAGCGGGAACCGTTCCCACCGCCAAAGGCGGTCTTCAACTACCGAGGGGAACTCTGGAGTTGAATACTCACTTTGGAAGCAGAAGTCTCGTTAACGGTGTCACTCATCTTATGTTGCAAATGTAAGAAAGATGGGGAGATGGGCAAGAGAAAGTCAGTTTTCCCACGTTATCAAAGGTCGGGATTGCCACGTGTGGCTTGGATATTCATATTATACTAATTAGGTTAAAGTGATCGTGAGATTGTATTTTTATCATACAAGTTGTCTTTTCACGCATTCCCTGTTTTTTATCGAGCATTGGTGGTTTAGTGGTATAATTACCGCCTGCCACGCGGTAGACCCGAGTTCGATTCTCGGCCAATGCATCTGCAATTGTAGGAATAACTTTTGAGAGGTGGACTCTACATTTTACGATATTTCTTTTGCTAATGAAACGGGTATTCACAAATTGCTGCTGTGCATAACAAAGAACGGTACCAAGGCGGTAACATAAGCATCGCTGGTTAAGTGGCGATAACATCATACTCCTTCCGCATGTCTCGCAATTGTCACATAAGTTTTTGCTCATTCGGCGTGGGGATTGTTAATCTGAAAGCCTAGCAAATTTCTGGATCAACATATCTACAGATGTTTGCACAACAGGACTCCCATCGTGAATGAATACTATTGCCACGCTCTTTGATATTGGTGTGATCGGAAACACACTTTGCAGCCAGCTACGTCGTGGATCGCTGCGTATAGTCCATTGCAAGAATCGTTCAGAGATGCGAATTGTCGCAGCAGGCGAACGGTTTTGGGGATACTGCATCTAGACCATGTTCGATCGAGCGACGATTGGAGAAACATCGTTTTAAGCGGCCAATGTGGAGCAATGCCTTGTCTATTGGAACTCTGCATGCGTTTCTCTCCACACACATGGTTTTGAGTATTGACCCAGACGGTCGCTCTCGATCAACCATGACACACGTCCGTCACCTTGCACATGCAGCGTTTGCTCAGCTCATATCCGCATGGTCGCCGATATGATGCGATTTTTGTTGGTGGTGTCGTTGGGATGTTGCCGCCGTAGTGTTTGGAGTCCGCTGAAGCGGCCTACCTTTCATAATCGCAAAGCTGCTGAATGAGAGTAGTTTTTCTTGGCATTCGGGCATAGATCGTTTTTTAGCCTTGTCTGCTAACAAACCCGCTGATACTACTGCTCAGCAAAAGCCCCCGTTTGATGCTGATTGCAAGTCAGTTGGGCAGAGAATAGACTTGATTGGCGGTCCCTGCCCTCGTTTGAGAACCCGGCAGTATGCCCATTTAACCTTCCCTTGCGGCCTTAGAATCGGTCCTGTAGGATGCGCACTAATCATTTGTCGTTGGACTCCTTGCTATCCGTACTAACGCTCTTCCCATGGACGCTGATTTGGGGAAGAATTCTATATTCTGAAGTTTGTCATCCTGCTGGTGCGGGCTACTGTGGTGGAGGTGGTGGCGTTCGAAACGAGTGGGCATCCTTTATCGAGTCAATTGTCGGCTGACCGGCTTCTCCTCCTCCAGCACGCATGCATCGAACAATACTTTACATTTACTGACAGAAATTGACACATTGTCGAATGCGCAGCATCTCGCATGATGGAAACGATGTGATGGAAATGGAAAGTAGAAAGCAAAATCCAAGGCAGTAACCGCATCAATAGGACAATTCAAAGAGGAAATCTTGGAGATTTGAGATCAGGAATCAATGTATTAAAAATCATATTTTACAAAGTCGATTCTACACAGCACGCTCCCCAAAACTGAACACAATCTTTTTTGCACAACTTCCGTTGAACAGTTGCGGTGAACCACTCTTGATGATGGATACCTAAAAGACTGCGGGTAGGGGTTAGCTCGCGCCATATAAGACCATGATACACCGATGCCACAAGTAGACTTGCCGACCCAGCAGGGCCAAGATCACACCTCGAAAGATACCACAACGCGCTACCCCCTGACCACCCACAGCCGCGACAGCCAAAAGGCCCGGAGATGCCGTGGCAGGCCCCTAAAGAATAACGTGCAGCAGCCCCAGCAGGTTGACTGCAACCCTCCATCCCCGACAGATACCGCAACGCGCTACCCCCAGACCACCCACAGCCGCGACAACTCAAACAGCCCCAACAGCTCAAGAGCCCGGAGATGCCGTGGCAGGCCAATGGAGATAACGTGCTGCAGCCGCAGCAGGACTTCAAAATTGCAGCCCGATCCAGCAACCATGGTTGTCCCCCACCCACCTGAGAAGAAGTCCGTCCCGGCGACGGTCGTTGTTGGTGTGGTGGAGGGGAGAAGTACATTGATGGGGAGAACGCGCGGGGGTCTCCTTATATAGTCGTGAAAAAAAACATCACGTGTCTGTCAGCCAATCAGATTCCATTACGTGCCGATACTTTCCGACTTCCGATTTCCGATGTTCCGTATTGGTTGCCTAGCAACATCATAGTCGCGACTCGATCGACATCTCCCATAATTGACCGATATCCATGTTTGACGAATGACGAAAAGAAGACGGGAAGGCGTTGATGGAATGCAATGATCAGTTGAACACAAGCCAAGAACTAGTCAGCATGTTGGGACAACCTGGCTTGTCCAAGTCGTACCCTCAAAAATAGCGCTGGATTCAGAAACAGGTATCATTGGTGATGTGTCCCGCTCTCTGACCTGGGTGACCTGGGGGAAATCCTGTCTACTTGTAGGGCATCATCACTGGGATTGCCTACCCCTCGGACTAAATGTGTACGGTCAAACTTACAGTATAAGTTAGATATTCTCTAACTACTATATTGGTATTACTGTACTATGTGAATTCCGAATAGTAGAAAATAAATCTTATAACTACTACCATTAAATCACAGTTACTCATATAATATTTTATTGGAAACTATCTTGATGGAGTGTGAAATGTTGAACCGAAGTGAGGATTTACTGTCCGCCATCTCCCGTCGCGTATCAATGATATCAAACACGTCCAAAGAAAGCGCGGATAATATCAGCAAGAAAGATCCTTCATCGACCGGCGATTATCTAGATCTGGGTAAATGCGCCAAGTACTGGTGGTCTTTATCGCGCATTATCCAAGCTTCCTATGACACGTCCTATGGTCCGAAGCACTCACAGCACCGTCCGCTTTATCGAAGATGTCTAGTTACGGATTCCCCGCTAACCTCTGTATGCATTTTCCAGTCTAAGCAGCCTATCCCGTTCAAATCGCGCGGATGAAAGACGATGCCGTCGAATTCGCTCTCGGAATTCGCTGGTAGCTGATCGACGATTCTGGTAAATGCGGATGTATTTCGCATCAGCTGCGGTCCAATTGCCGTCGGTAACGCTATCGACGTTGTAGGGCTGACCCATGGAATCGTAAAAAATGCCGCTACTTGACCGTATAGTCGCCGTTCCACGATGGATGCAAAGAATGGCGCCAAGACAAGTCCGTGATTCAACAGAAGCCGTGTCAGAAAAGTGGATGCATATCTGCAGTTACCTCGGTGAAGCAATGCGGGTACTGCATTGTCTATTGGAACTCCGCATGCATTGGATTCCAACCGCTGTGACATCCTTGGTCGAGTCGGGCAATGTCTATCAGACACGAAATATCCGTAACCTTGCAGGTGCAAGGTATCGATGAGCGTGTGCCCATCCAGTGAGCCGGCAATCACTTGCAGCAGTTGTGGCCATATGGGATCGTTGGTAAAGGGCCATCCAGTTCGAAAGTATCGATCTTTGGAAGACGTATGGCGGACGCAGGCCCACTTGGGCGTTACAAGGCATGCTGCTGTGATGTGTCGTTGCTGCCGTTGTGGTGATGGGTCGCTGCTGCGTTGGGACACTGCTCCCCTTTTATAGCTGCGAAGCTTCATATGGCATAACGGCGGCATAGGCAAATAACAAAAATAAACTGGCGTTCGCCCTTTGCGACATTTGACATTGAAGGCGTGAGCCATCCAGTTTCCAATAGCAAAAGTAAACTGGGCGGGGGGCGTTTTGCAGGTATGGCACAGGCTGCGCACATGCAGGCAAAAGAATGATACCTCCGGATGTACGGCCATCTTGCATTGCAGAGAGTGCGGAACCTATGGAGATTGGGGAGACGTTCCCATGTCCAAATTGCACTGAAACTGCCACCTCATGAAAACGACGCTGAGGTTTAAGCCTGTGGGTCGGGAATTGACTTGCTACCATTTCGGGCCGATCAGATAAGGTGTTGGAGAAACGTTGCCACCATGGGGCTAACACTTTGTACAGTTCTGTAGTATACTTGCTCGATATGCTCCGTGTGTTCGATTCACCTGATGCCAATGCAGCCCAAGTGAGCGATACAATCGTATTTGATCCATCATACATATCTTCATTATGTTACCTATAATCTCTCTGGCAAGCGGATCCTTTCAAACATATACGACGAGAGTATAGATGGATAATCCAAATTTATGAATGAAACATGAATGACCCGAATATACTGCATGCAAAGACCGCCATTTGCGACATTGCTGCCACGAGTGATATTGTACTAATCTCCATCCCGCATCTTCCTGTCTCTTATTCAACATTTCGTATCTTGTCCTCATATCTCTTCCCTTCCATTCCGCCCGTCTCCCTTGCTTTCTCCTGACGAATCCTTTCCCTCTCAGCCTGTCTATTCCAATGTCTCTTCAGTGGGATCCAGGTATATTGTGAATGGACCGTTTTATCCTAAGCGTAAGAAAATGACAAGCATTCTCTTAGAGTATCGCCTACCCCCATACAGGTTAGACGTTCTCCAAATCTACATGGGAGGACGTGGATGGACTCGCAACCAGTTGGTAGCGCAAAATGCGTCAGAACTGTCAAAACGACTGATGCTGTCTACAAGAAGGTCCTGCTGGTGCCGCCCACAGTGGTGGAGACGATTTTTGCCACGAGGGGGGATTTGAACGAGTGGGCGTCCTCTTGCAAAGGAATTGTCCAGATGCTTCTCTCATTGTCGGCTGATAACGGCTTCGCAGAATGCCATCCCAAACAAACAGCGCTTTCACCTCTTGGCATTCTCTTTGACCTGCATTCTCTTCTAGCATGCATGCAAATGGACAATGCTTTACGTTTATTGACAGAAACTTTCGTACGTCGGATGCGTAGTATCTCCCAGTGCTCTCGCGCGCACATTCCGAGCCAGCCGTCCGTTCTCCAACACAGTGGAATTTATGGCGAAATGCTCCATTTTGCATTAACCTCCGGTGATTACACGCATCCCAGATGTATGTTGGCTTGCTGGTGGACGCCCCATAGGACTAAAGTGTCGGGAAATGAGAATAAAATACAAAGCGAATATCTCATACACAGGGATCAATATATTCATAGTCATGCATATTTTACAAGGCCTATTGTACAAAGTCCGCGCCCCAAAAGCTGAACTAAATCCTGTCGGCCGAATAGTCGAAGTCGCGCGCTCCTTGAGAAAAGGATACCTAAAGGAATGCGGGCAGGGGTTAGCTTGCGCCATAAAGACCATGATACACCGATGCCACAAGTAGACTTGCCGACCCGGCAGGGCCAAGATCACCCCGACAGATACCACAACATGCTATCCCCTGACCGACCACAGCCCCAGCAGCTCAAGGCCCGAATCAGATACCGTGGGAAGCCCAAGAAGATAACATGCTGCAGCCCCAGCAGGCTGCCTACAACCATCCATCCCCGACAGATACCACAACATGCTACCTCCGACCGACCACAGCCCCAGCAGCTCAAGGCCCGAATCAGATACCGTGGGAAGCCCAAAGAAGTAACATGCTGCAGCCCCAGCAGGACTTCAAAATTGCAAGCTGATCCCAACCCATGAATCACACCCCGACAGATACCACAACATGCTATCCCCTGACCGACCACAGCCCCAGCAGCTCAAGGCCCGAATCAGATACCGTGGGAAGCCCAAGAAGATAATATGCTGCAGCCCCAGCAGGCTGCCTACAACCATCCATCCCCGACAGATACCACAACATGCCACCTCCGACCGACCACAGCCCCAGCAGCTCAAGGCCCGAATCAGATACCGTGGGAAGCCCAAGAAATAACATGCTGCAGCCCCAGCAGGACTTCAAAATTGCAGCCCGATCCAGCAACCATGGTTGTCCCCCACCCACCTAGAGAAGAAGTCCGTCCCGGTGACGGTCGGTGTTGGTCGTTGAAGTGGAAGGGAGAAGTAGAGTGTGAGGGAAAACGCGTGGTGGGCTCCCTTTTATAACCGCGTTGAATGATGACGTGTCAGACAGCCAATCAAATCCCATTCCGAAATTCCGATGTTCATAAATGTTGCCTAGCAACGTGTCACCTCTCACCTCGTGTCGAACATTGTCGTCGCAGAGCGACCGAAGGGATGTCGATTTCATGATGTACCGGAGATGATGGCAAAGTGGGACGCTTGATAAATCTTAAGAAATCCTGGGGGGCCCGAGTGCGTACCTAAAAGAATTTATAGCGGACTCGGCCATGAACCGTGAAAGTAGGATGTTTTCTTGTCATAGCTGACTCGTCCTGGTGTGATAGCTTTGTGCCAATTGCCAATAACGAAATGCTTGATGGAAAAGGAAATGTTAGTGGAAATATACCCTTCATTGTTTCAAGGCTGGAGTGACTCGTTACTTGTATTTTTCCCCCCCTTCTGTATTTTTGGGCAATATACAAAGAAACTACACAGATAGATACAATGGTATATAGTTGATACATTATCAAAACGTGATTGGAAACTTGCAAGATTTTGATATGCATCCACTTGCAGAGATCTTATCTATCATGAGCAAATGTTGCGACCAAAACTTGGGGTAATTACACTGGAGGTACTGGAAAACGATGAGATATGTAAAAACACGACAAAACCGCATGCTATTACCTCTTTCAGCGAAAAATACAAGCATTTTCGCAGGACCTACGATTCGTTTCGTTACATTTTGTGTGTGGTATATTGGCAAATTGATCGTGGTTCTTAACTATTACTGTATGCAAAAAGATGCACCGAAAAGAGAGTCACTGGACACAATAGGTCGAGGATTTAGCATTCTGTTTCGACCGTCGGCACGAAACGATGTATTCGAGCGAAATGGGCTTCCTCTTTTTGGTTTTGCCTTGGGGCGCTTTTTGAAGCGGATGAGATGGGACTGTTATAGTGGTTAATGCCATAATGTGCGAAACGGAAGCGTGCGGATTGGAAGCAATTATTCGACATTTCGTATGTTGTCGCATTTCCCTTCCTTTCCATTTTCCGCCCGTCTCCTTTGGTTTCTCCCCATCAATCCTTTCCCTCTCAGCCTTCTCCATTCCAATGTTTCTTCAGACGGATCCAGGTATCGAGTGAATGGACCGCCTAGGAACGTAAGAAGATAACAAGCATTCTCCTAGAGTATCGCCCACGCCCACACAGGTTAGACGTTGTCCAAATACGAGGACTCTCAACCAGTTGGTAACGTGAAATGAGTCACGATCATTACATAATCTTAAACCCATGTCCGACACCCGTCAGAACTGTCAAAACGACTGATATCCGAGTTGGACTTGTTAACAATATCTATCTTCTTGTAAGACAAATACATCAATTGTTTTGACAGTTCTGACGGGTGTTGGACATGGGTTAAATATTAGCAAGTCTAACCGTGTGACCCTAGAATCGGTTGCCAACCTTGTTGAACGAGACATTTGTGAGTACAGTAGAGAAAATGATGCCATATATCAATGAGGTATTTTCTCTCGTGTGCTCACAAAAAGGTCGTTCACAAAGTTGGCAGTCAGCCCACCGTAGGTCACTCGGGCAGGGACTTTACGACTTTGTGTTTGTTCCACCTGCTGCTGCTGCTCTTGCTCTCGCGACTCTTGTTATCCTTCTCTTTTTATACCAGAATTCCCTCCGTATAAAGCGGCTTTTCTCTTTCTTTTTTTCTTTGGCAGCGCTTTTACTCTTTTTACTTTTCTGGTTAATAGGGGAGCTGCCAAAGTAAACGGCTCCATGTAACGTATCCCCCATCCGTTTGTGGGAAATCAAACTTTTTTGCTCTTGGCTGTCCGCATGGGAGCGACGGTTTTTTGCACATGCCCACGTTTGTTCCATCGCATCGGAATTCTACGGGGTGGGCAGTGCAAAGTGGGCATTGCAATCAGCTGGTAGGTTTCATTGTCCTGAAGTATCAAGGGAATTACACAGCAGTGCATGATGCAAATATCGATAGGGACAAGGTGTGCAAGCCTTGGTGTCATTTCATGCAATGACATGTGGAGATTGAGAACGTTCTTCACAGACTTTAAGCCTCAATTTGATGCGTTTGGTCGCAACAACGCGGCTTTCAGTTCCCACCCGACGACTTGTTTTACGGTCTCAGTGCCATTTTGGACGTTGAGGGAAAACGTCTTCCCCCCAAATCTCCACACATGGGCTCCGCCCTCGATTTCATTTGTCAAATGACGCTCTGGCAAGAGGCTTTTTCATCCGTTCATCCGCAGGCATCAACTGTTTGCAAATCATATGTGCAGCGACAGATCGGCAGTCTCAGTGCAATTTGGACGTGGGGAATGGACGCTGTCTGCAACAGAACCCTCCGGTCATGGGCTCAGCGACCGTTTTTTCTATGAAAACCAGCACCTCTGTCGTTAACCCGGATGCCATAGAGAGCTTGATCAACACCATTCGAAAAGCCCAACTTGTTTGACTCTTTTCTGCCGTCCTGTCCCGACACACACAAACCATACTACAGAGACACCCACACCCACACCAACCGCACAAACATGGCCAGCCTTTTCGACCATCCCACAACACACCACACCCATCACTCGCACAACACCCATATCGCCGTCCGCCCCCTTTGACACCGCCCGCCCCCCTCCTCCCGGGCCCGAACGTAAACCCGAACGCTAATGTGCACACGACCCCAAACTGCTACACTCACTACCAAACCTCCGATGCAGACTAGGACCCGAACGCTGACCTTAACCTAAACGCGAACACCTCCGCGACCTGAAACTTTACCGTCAACCGGCGCCGGAGATCATAGCTGTCCGGTATGAATGTGAGTTCAAATTCTGTTGACATCAAATGTTCTTTCTCTCAACTCTGCGTGGTATTTTTAGGATCTGGGCGACAGTTGCGATCCACCAGCACCTTATCGGCGCAGACGCCGTACAAAGTCTCCACGGACAACTACGGGATTCCGGCAAGATACCCTTCCGCGTCGTGATTCATTGGACCAGCCCTGACCATTACCGACGAGCTTACAGCCACTTTGCTGTCAACAAGTATGGCCGCTCTGAACGCTTCTTCCGTGCTAAACCATGGATGTCTGAACCTCGACCAACTTCGTGTTAGTATTAGCGTTCGGGTTTAGATTAGGGTCAGCGTTCGGGTCCTAGTCTGCATCGGAGGTTTGGTAGTGAGTGTAGCAGTTTGGGGTCGTGTGCGGATTAGCGTTCGGGTCCTAGTCTGCATCGCATGTTTGGCATTAATATAATTATGACAACCGAGCGCTTAGGAACACATATATCTAAAACGCTCTTCTATGCATAGGATTTACTGTTGGTGCTACTGCCCTATGAGTGAATAGACCTGCTATTTCGCATTTTATCAGGCGAAGTGCATATTCTTTGGCAAAAGCGGCTTTCGTCCCAATGTTTGCAATATCAGCATGCATGAATTCATGAAGGTCCAATGAATCAAGTAGTTTCATGACACAGTTAAGAATCAAAGCTAGCGAAAAACGAGCTAGGTCGAAATGTCAATTTCGCTGGCACGAAGAAAGACGTTTAGCGGCCGTTTTGGGAAACGGGTGAGCCTGATTCTGGTTCTTATTTGTCCAGGTGCTGTCGCTACCGTTTGCTCTCTCGCGACCTGCTCTGTGTTGCTGCTGCTGCTTTTTTTAGGGAAAATGACAAGAATACACGCGATCCAGTCAACAATATGAACAAAACCTCCCATCTTATTGACAGAAATGGACAAACCGCAAGTGTTCCAGCTATTGTATCTCGCAGTCCATTTCATGCGTAATATAGTCTTAGCACATGTAAAAAGGGTTTAAATCAGTGAGTACCAAGAAAGGTAAATAGTTTGTAAATAGGAATAAACATTGTTTTTATTTAGTGATGAACAGAGTGAAGAACAATTGACAAAAACTTTAAAAACAGATTTAATGCTAAGAGCATCTATGTATCTTGAATGGAAATATCACACATAGCAATAGTCTGTGTCAAACGTTTAGTCGTTCTGCATGCGGACAACGTTCTTGCCACCCCCACATTCCCAGTTGTTCCCATCGCATGGAGGGGAGACAGTGCAATCAGCTGGCATATGTCGCTGCACTGCCCATCATCTTGAATATCAAGGGAATCGTTGGCAGGTAAATCATCTACCTGAAAGGCTTACGCCTCAGCGTCATTTGATGCTTTCAGTATATTTTGGACATGCAGCCCACACTTCATTTTTCCCAACTGACAGCTTGACACTTTTAGCGTCACTGCAATTTCGACGGTAAAAACGTCTGTCGAATCTTCACATGGTCCCGTCATTGATTTGATTTGGCAAAATGACATTGCCGACATGTGTGCAGCGGACAGGTGGGCAGTGTCAGGGCAATTGGAGTGGGTAGGAACGTCTCCCCATCTCCGCAAAGTTCCGTCAACTTGACGCTGATTTCACACAACTTTCCGGTGCTGGGCGCAGCGACCGTTTTTTCTATAAAGGTAGCACTTCTGTCCACATTCCCCCTCATCTGAACCATACAAGCATCCGCCTTCCCACGATATATCATACGCATTTCTCCTCATTCTGAACCTGTATAATGTTTCGTCCTCAACCAGATACATTCTTGAATCATTCGTGACCACTCCCCTCAGCACAATCCGAAGGTTTACCTCGTACAGCTACACTCAGCTAGGAACCCTGCTCTAGACGTGCTGCTGCGAGCTCAGTGTACCTGTACGGGTGCACCTTCCGATGATGTTGCTGCACACCATGGCGAGTTAATCGCTGTCCGGTATGAAAGTGACTTCAAATGCTTTTGATATTATATGCACATTCTCATCCCCATGTTGAATTTTCAGAATTCGGACCGCCATAGTCATCAACAAGGGTTAATGGATCCGGACGCAGTTTGGAGCTTCGTTGGACAACCCGCCCACGACCGGAACAACTCTTTTTCGAGCTGATCAACGTAAGGTATGAATAGTGCTTCAAATGCTTTTGACACCAAATGCACATTCTCATCTCCACATGGTATTTTCAGTATTTGGGCGACGGTAGCAATTCAGACTCGTTGGACAACCGTGCAGAGATGGAGTAACACTTCGAGATCATACACTGGTCCGCCCACGAACAGGTCAAAGCCCTTGAGAGAGCATTTGGCAGCGGCAGTTAACGGCAAACCGGTATGAATGTTACTTCAAATTCTTTTGATCTGAAGTGCGCATTCTCACCCCCTTTGGTATTTTCGGCATCTAGGCCACCGTCGTCTCATTTACAGGAAGTTAATCGAACCCGGATACAATTGCCATCAATTGTGGGACAGCGAACTGACGGGAAACACCTTTTCGAGTTATTATCCACTGGGCGACATGCGATGCATACAACAAGGAGTCTGTGTCAATGTTCCGTTTCTGGTAAGTCCAATACTAATGACGGATGATTGTTGAGCTGGTTCTCTGCTCGGCGGATGAGTGGCCTTTGGAGTAGGAGACAGGGATACACTCGCTGCCGCCGGCCCATCCCGTGTCGTTTGCTGCTTTACTGGGTTCATTAGGTCGACTCTTGGCTATACCAATCACAGTGATTGGTGGTCGTTGGGAATACTTGGTCTTGCGAGGATTCGGCTGGATGGACAAGAGACGGGTCTACCGTTGCTAGTGACTGATCATTTTGCTTCTGTCCATTTGGTAGGTCGTCAACAAGGTTGGCTCGCGAGGGATGCGTCAATACAGACGAAGACGACTGGGAATGGGTAGCATCGGCCGACGTTTCTCAAGAGGCGGCAAGGACACTTGCAAGATCACACCACGGCCCGGACGCCATACAAAGCTGGATCAACACCATTCGTAAAAACCATCATTCGAAAATACCATCAAGGAAGCATGCTATTGCATTAAGAAGCTTTCATGAGTTTTGGAATTCCAAGACGGACAAGTGGAAAAAGAAGGGTAAGAAGAAGAATAGAGCTGCGAATGGTGTGGATGAGCGCGCTTTGGCAGAGGAAATCGATACCCTGTCCATTGATCAGATCAAAAGTCCTCTTCCAGCACACTACACACAGCACACCGACACACGCAACACACAATACACCATTAACCCGGATGCCATACAGAGCTTGGTCAACGCCATTCGAAAAGCCCAACTGTTTGACTCTTTTCTGCCGTCCTCTCCCGACAGTCAAACTATACCGGAGAACACGCACATCGACTCCAACCGCACAAACATGGCCAGCCGTTTCGACCACCCGATCCCACACCCTCACGCACAAAACACACACACATGGCCAGTCGCATCAAAAACTTGGATTCGAAACAAGCTCGCCGAAGAAGAAACATTCTTCCACCCAAGCCTCCCCCCTCGCCTGCCGCCGCTCGCCCTGTCGTCGAATGTGCCCCTCCTCGCCTCGGTTGATTTAGACGAACCCTTCAAAGTCACCGATGAACTGCTCACCTACCTGCGAGCAAAGTGAACGGTACCCATTACCCACCGCAACTAATATCGGGGTTTGAGAGTCTGTTGGGCAGTGCGTATAATTCGTCTTCGGGGAGCTGAATACCTAGACATCTAGCGGCCCAACGACACTTTCACCGATACAATACCATTCCAGCTCAAGTGTACGAAGCTTTGGCCAGTATGCAACCGATCGGCTTGAAGACGATGATCTGTGTATCCCGGATTCAGCATCTAGCGGCCCAACGACACTTTCACCGATACAATACCGTTCCAGCTCAAGTGTACGAAGCTTTGGCCAGTATGCAACCGATCGGCTTCAAGACGATGATCTGTGTATCCCGGATTCAGTTTGATTTGCCTGCGTCGCGTTTTATCTTCCTCCCAATTTCTGTCTACGGTCGAGTCGGACTTTCACCTGGCATCCGCGAAACCGTATCGATTCTTTTCTGGTTTATCAGTTTTAAATTCCTTTTTGGGTTCTTCAAGAGAGACGTTGATTGCGGTAAGGTATGGATGGTACTCTAAATGCTATTGACCTCAAATGCGCATTCTCAAACCCTTTGGTATTTTCGGCATCTAGGCCACCGGCGTCGTCATTCACAGGAAGTTGACCGAACCCGGATGCTATGCAATGCCTTGTGGGACAGCAGCCCCGAACCGACGGGACAACACCCTTTCGAGTGATTATCCACTAGACGACATACGATGCATACAAAGCTTTCGACAGGAGATTCTGTGTCGGTAGTTACCGGCTCCCGGAAATATTTTACGGCCAAGCCTTGGGTGTCAATGGTTCCCTCCGTTTCTGGACGTGACTTACCGATTCTTTGAGGAATAAAACGGGTAGCATCGGCGGACGTCTCTCGAGAGGCGGCAAGGACACTTGCTGGACCCTACGCCTGGCCCAACGACGACATCAAGGCCCTCGCTTTCTATGTGTATAACATTGTGGTCGAACGGAAGTTGGCGGCGTCGGGACGGAACACTGGTCCGGTTATGCGCGGACACTTGAATACTACGGGAGTAGCGACAGGGGCGCCGGTCGGGACGAACTTCCTCAGTCATATTGACGAAAAAGACGAGCAGACGTGCGGCCTGGAGAACAACATGTACGGGCAAAGTAACGTGCGGCCTGGAGAACAACATGTGCGGGCAAAGTAAGCGAGGCACACCGCGGCCCAGATGCCATACAAGAGTGTGATCAACACTATTTGAGAGTCCAACTGATTGACTCCTTTGTGCCGTCCTCTTCGAACATACCGACACACGCACGACACACGCATACGTCAAGTTGCTACCAGACGGCATTTTCGGCAGCTGGTAGAGGTCGACCAAGATCGAATTCGTTGATTCCTTCAAAAGTGTAAGGGGTGAATAAACCAACTTACGTCACACCCGCACACCCACACAGTCATGGCACGAACGGCGACATTTGTCGATGCACGACCTCACGCTCGCGGCGGCGAGCGGACAGGGAAGGGAGCACCACTTGTCGTGAAAGAGATTAGTCGTGGCGCCCGGAGATCACGCAGGGTGCTTGTCTGCAAGGAAAGAATCGCAGTGAAGTAACTACAAATAGACTAAACGACGGCGACAGCAGAAGAACCGTAGTTTGAAGTAACTGAAGATTGTAGGAAACAATGGAATTCGCGCAGCGGGGACGAACGAGCTTGTCCAACTCTTCGCGTGTACGCTCGCGCTCGGCGCCGCACGTATGGCGGTGAAATGGCACATCCAAACCTGTGTGGCTATCCATGTTCCGTCCTATCCCGGGAGGCGATTTACTGGTGTTGCGAGAGATGAAGCGGGTAGCACTCACCAACATTGCGCGAGAAGCTACTCGGACGATGGCGAAGGCGAATCTCGGCGCTGTCCGTATGGTGGTGGAACGGCCTAAATTTTGCACTGGGAGTTATGGCCTCCCTTACAAGAAATCGCACCGGACTCTTATGCGAGTGGCAAGACCTTTGAGTTTGTAGAGGGTCGACTTGGCGAGATTGCGGAAGCAAATGGGTCTCAACGTATTTCCCGATCCCCGGAGGAGATATTCCGGTTCTACGATAAGTCAAACTAGTCGCATCAACGAGCGTCGCGCGGGAAGCCAGTCGAACCTTAGCCAGGACCAATCTCGGGGCCGCCCGTATGGCGGTCGAACGCCACGTCCAACAATACAACACAGTCGCAGTCCAAGTGTACGAGGCCCTTGCAAGCATGATGGAACTCCTGCCCGAGATCGAGGAAAAGTTGGCTGCAGCAGGGCGCAATACTGGACCGGCTATGCGTGGGTATTTGCATGTGACGGGAGGAGCGCATGGGGCACCAGTCGGGACCAACTTCCTTAGCCATCTCAATGAGCGTGACGAGCAAGCCTGTGGGTTGCAGAGCAATATGTACGGTCAAAGTAGGAGGGGTAAGATGAGAGGTTGTGGACCCTGTTGTGGTCCGGATCCGTCGAGAAACAATACGTTGGTATCTGCGAAGCGACGCCTTCCGACCAATCTCCCTCCTGGGACCGCAGCAGTGCGATAAAGGAGCCCCATCGCACGAGGTGGAACTAATTGGCCTGTTTGATGACCCCATTCAAAGACGATACGGCCAAGAACCATTCCCCACACGATTTGGTCACTATTGGACCATTGAAATGGGGTGTTGATCAACGGTAGCGGGCTTAACAACGATTCCAGTGGATGTCGGGAAAAGTCTCTTGCCCATTGTCGGTTCTGGTCCCCGAAGCGCTTGCCACAATGATGGAACTTTTTACCCGAGAACGAGTTAACCAGCTTGGAACTTTATGTACACGCAAGAGGCGGAACCCATTAACTTCCTCGTCGCACCCCCTTCCCCCCAGTGCAAATCGTTACGAAACTTGGATTCGCAATCCTGTTCGGCGAGTACGAAAGATACCTTTCGTCGCAGGCCTGCCGCACCTCGTCCTATCGTCGCAACACACGACACACACAACAGGGCGAGGCATCGTCGCATATGGATTCGTTAGACTTAGTGTAAACGAGTTCTTGTAAACAAATACGTCTTCTTCATAAAAAGTACTTATGGCATTTCTGATGGCATTGCAAATGGTTAAATAATATATAATTGTAGTGCGTCGAGTTAACTCCTCGTATCAGTGTCATTTTCAGTGGTATTCATGCCTTATGTAGATAGGGCGTGCCCTTAACTCACATAAACGCGGTAACAGAGGGAAGCACGGGTGCAGGACGTAGCATCCCTGTCGGTGGAGGTGCATGCACTAGGCACCGAAGCAAGGCAGAATGGCAGCGAGTATCTCGCTCGAGAATGCACGGCCAAGACGCTACACTAATGCTCTCCCCCCAGCCACCCTACCCGCAAGTCAAAGGCACTCAATGCAAATGTGGGAACAGAGTGGATGTGCAATGCGCAAAACGAGTTGAGAAGCGATTGTCCCTTTTCCGCGAGTGATGTCGTTACTTGTAAATGACTCTCAGCTGTCGTCTGATCGCAGCAAGGCTCCTAACCCGTCGTTATACGCGCAGTAGATACTCAGACGGTGTGCAGTTTAAGGACAACAGAAGGGAGGACAGGACAAGACAGCACAACCGATGTTATACATCAGCATCGTAGCCATAGATAAAGACCAAGCGAGATAAAACTATGGAATATCGTACGTATTCAGCGAAAGCCGTGGCAACCAAATACATCAAATACCGCGATAAAGTATAGTTTTTAGAACAGTTGGAGGAATTTTATTGTTTACAGCATATAACATCTTCTCTAAACTAAAGACCGTATACCAGACTTTACCGCGTTGTTCTCGGCGTGTCGTTATCGTGGTCGTGGTCGAATCTATCAAAAAGAAAGCTAAAAAAAGTGAGGGTGAGGAAAACACGCAAACATTTGAAACACGAAAAACGCATCCCAAATGGAACCGTCTGCGACCATGCAACAAGTTGCCTCCCGTGCCACGCAAGCCCCAGCAAGTCCCCACAGAGTGAAGACCCCGATAGATACCTGGTGTCACTATTGGCACAACCCAAACACAATACACTCAGAGCAGTACCCATCCGCCCATTCATCGACGACTCTGCGCGGTTCCGGCATAACAAGGCCCCAGCAAGTTCCCCCCCAAGCTGGGAACTCCGACGATACCCTGAGACACCTATTGACCGGGAAGGTGATCGCTCGGTGGACTACTCTTGGCAGGTCAAGACAAACCGTAAGATCCCGTAGGCTGCCGAACTCCCTCAGTAGACACCCAAGTGCCAAAGTCGGAATTGACAATACTGATAGAGTCCAACTGCTGTCCGGGACCGCAGCGAATGTCCCCCTGTGAAGGAAGCCTTGCTATGTTCTCCCGCCCTCACCTTAGAGTAAATGTTGAGACCTTCGCGGATCGCTTGGTGAGATGGGGGAGAAACGCGACACGAACCAGACGCACTTTTATAGCCGCGTTGAGTTGACTGCGCCATACTGGGAGAATGGAAAAATCGATGATTGGCTGGGCACCGAGCACGTGTAGCCATTGCTTGCGTCAGCTTATTCGTCAAAGTCCGCTGCGCAAGTGGAGGAATGCACAAGACTAGCAGTCGAAAGCCAACCACTTGCTCTGCGCACTTTGCCACATGATATTGGTCCACCATGCATACAATGTATCGGCATCAATTCGCCGGAAGGAGCATGATCAACTTGGTGTGATCGCCATTCAACCATCAATAGCTAGTGTAGAGGTGACAGAAACTGGCACTAGCTACTACACCAGGGAATAAACCGGCGACAACCGGTTCGGAAAAGTTAACTAACTACTAATAGGCAATTATACACGCAATACGTAACGATTGGTTCTAACCGGATAATTGCCCACCACCACACGCGTCCGGACCTACTAGGCCTTGATCTGGAACTCTTGATGGCATTGAAGCCAGACTCTTGCATCCAGGAGCAAATCGACTGGGCAGCGTCACAAGCCAGAGGATGTTCAGTGACAAGGCTTGGAGACTACAAAAAAATGCATGTCAGCGACAGAATAATATGAAAAGAGATGATGCCATTGGTACATACCAACCAAGCTCAACTAATGTGGCAGCATAATAGTAGTTTTTGTTATCGGATCCGATTGGTTGCCACTGGTTCTGATCACTGTTACTGTCGGGCGGTCGAGGTCCTCGACACCACCACATCAGCGTTCTCATGATTGACCGAGTCGCGATGAGGTTGTGTGGGTCGCTATGAGGTTGCAATGTGGGTCGCAATGAGCATTGCGCAGATGCTTGCGAGTCGAGGGATAAAGAGGAAACAGGGAAGAGGGAGCAGGTCCCCTTTTATAGACCTTCGGCATGCGCCTCACCGCAGTTTAAAAAAAAAACATTACAATACATGCCTCACCGCTTTGAGCAATAGATGGGGGTGCTGATTATGCGATATGATTAACCGGATTATCCGGATAATAATGGGTCTTAGTGCCATTTTCAATCGCCTCCACACTATGTACTGCAGCCATTTTAGAATTGCGGTTACTCCTCGGGGGTTTGTTTCATTTGCGAGCGAACGTTTGTAATTCTGGGTCAACCATGCAAAAAGTAATGCCAGCGCTCTCTCGCAAAAGTACCCGATGGGGACTGCCAGTGCATTGGCCGAGAATCGAACTCGGGTCTACCGCGTGGCAGGCGGTAATTATACCACTAAACCACCAATGCTTGTGCTGAGAATATGCAGAGTCTTCTCATAACAATAACAATTTAGAACAGTTGAGGGCTGAGGGGGATATGTATGTAAAAGACCCCCTTCCAACGTGAAGACGCAGCATGTTTAGGGCAAGTGGACTCCTGAAGGCGTTGGATTGGGGGACTACGTTCGTGTGATCCAGTTGAAATCGGCAAAATGGTTGGACAGTTTTAGAAACGGCCTAGTTACACCCGAAGATGGATGAGGATTTTAAGTGCCATGGAGAAAGATTGTACTGCGTCGAGTTAACTCCTCGTTTCAAAACCACAGTGTAAGATATGTTAATTACAGTAGTACTCGGATCGTTCCTATCGATTTTCGCGGTATCAAGTAGGCCCTTCGAGCTACCGGAGAGCGCCTCAGCTGTTGTTGGAGAGTCCCCAGACCCAAGGAAACTGGATATTTCCCAAAATAGAGAAACTCTGGTGATTCCCCAAAACCGAGGGCGTGCCAATTATCCTAAGAGTACGACCGCCTCATCTCGGGTCATGAACATTTGAGTGCCACTCGAGCGAACCAGATTGTCTATTTACGCCAGCGACTGGCCGAGGAGCGATGTCCCGGTACAAGGCGGGCAGTCTCAGGAACGACTAGACAATCTCTTGTTGGGATAGGTAATAGGGCCATATATGCTTTGGAGGCGGCGAAGGGTTGGTAAATGCAGTGTTGGGGCGTCAACAAGTATTGACCCCACTGAAGACAAAGGCATGATGAAGGTAAAATTTCTATATTCAGGTCGATTGGACATGTTTTAGGTAAGTTGATGTGAAAGGACTATCGTCTCTCTCTTCATCTCATTCTAAATCATGATGGGCCTTAATGTAATCAGCACTTTCCCCATCATCATGGGCAACATAGCCTCCGAAATCCTCATAACTATGGTAAGCATAACGCTAAATGATGTCCTCTCAATTCGTCATGAGTTCGCATAGCGAAACAAGGTGCCTGTAATTAATATAAGAACCACTGATTCATTTGGCCGACTCCTTTCAAGATCTGGGTCAATAGACATTTCCTCTCAATCAATGCCGCTCCAGAAAAAACTAATTGCAAAAACCCACAGACGACGTGAAGACGGTTCGGGCATATCTTCGTCTGAAACGGAGTGTCCCGTCACAGTTCGATCCTGGAATACCACAGCTTTTACTACAGGAGCTGTTCGCGAATCCATGTACCATCGAAACCATCTTCGCAGTGCTATAATTGAAGCACAGCTCCCCGACTATTTCCTGACGGTTCCACAGTACTTGACACAAATATCTTCCAAACTTAATCAGCCTACGCTATATATATCCGGTTTCTGCGGTGTCAACTACATCCATAGCACCCGGGAGACTAGTTGATGGAACGGCGAAACCTCGTACATGATTCTCATCGACTCGTACATGATCGGATCGAGCACGACATCACGCTGCTGAAGGTAATTCTGTAAACCATTGCCAGTTTCATCCTTTTTAATTAGCAGAAACGTAAGTATATCCTTTCAGTGACGATAGGGCCAATTGGCTTCGGATCCTCAAACATTATGCTGGGGTGATAGCCAGGTTTCCATGTTATCGACTTTAGTTGGTAACTGAAATCCCTTGCAAAAATCCCGAATCTAAAGCAGTGTATGGCGATATCCTTCAGTCAAACGATAGAAGTAGAACTTGAGTCGACTCTATTCACCGATAAACCGATGGCCAGAAAACTAACCATCAAGTAACCCAGTATACTCTTCAGGGCCGCAGAATGCAATATCTGGAACACATTTGTGACCTGCGCCATGACCGACAAAATATGTCCACCTCC